CAGTGCCTCCCATGCTACACTGCCACATGTAGCTACATACTGCAGTGTGGACACGGACTATTTTTCACTGCTGTGTGTAGCTATATGTAATATACCCTCTATGCCTCTGGAAGCATAGACGAGGGCTAGGAAAGGCTTGCTTTCCAGTCATCTAAAAGTTTATTACTCTGCATTATCAGTCTAGAGTTCATGCTGGGAAGTATCATTAGAACAGCATTTCTTATCAGTGGAAATAATGAACCGATAACACATTTTTCAAAAATCTGTTTAAAGTATCTTGATTTAGTATATATGTATGGTGTTACCAAAACCTGAGTTTTATTCCAAGAAAACGGTAGAATTGCTGCTTCTCTTCTATTCCAATCTCCATTTCAAAGGGAAGGAGAAAACAAAAACAAAGCGGCTCTTTTAGATGTTTTTTAACTAAAAATGACACATGAGAACTGCAAACTGTTGATGTGAAAACCTTTTAATATGTGTAGACTTGGTGCTTTATTTAAATTACTTCATGTAATACTAATAATCTTGACTTGACTTTCTGCTGTCTTGCTGAAATGTCTACAGTGGGCCTAAAATATAACTGCTGTCAATACTTTAGGTAGCTGGCCAGTTAGTAAGATTTTTACTAAAAATCACCACCACCGTCTTGGCACGTTTTTAGTGAATGATAGAAACATACAGGCTTTTGTTTCAACTTCCTAGCTTTCTCTCTGCCCAGTAAAAGCTTGGAGCTCTTCACTACAGTCAGCAAATCTTAAACGGACCTCTTTTTGTCTCTGTGGGAGCTTCATGACCACTAACTTAAATTAGTGTACAGCCTATCAAACAATTGGACTACATAGTGTGTTTTATCTCTTACAGGATGTGTAGTTGCAGGAGCTGGTGCATTAGAAGTGGCAATAGCTGATGCTCTTGTGAAACATAAGCCCAATGTAAAAGGAAGAGCCCAGTTTGGAGTTCAAGCCTTTGCTGATGCTCTGCTCATAATTCCTAAGGTATAAAAGTACTCTTGGTTAAAGTAATGGTTTCAGAGCAGTTATAAAGTGTAGAAAATTGTACCTGTTTTAGCAGTAGTCCACTTCACTGAAGAGTCTTTTGCCAGAGGACAGACATGAGTAATGTTTTGAACTGAAGGCAAGGATGTATACCCTTCCTAATTTTTGTCTGAGTTATACCAGCAGGGGGATATGTTGGGAGCTGTGGTAGAGATTAACAGTTAATGATGCACCTTCTGAAACAACATACAGGGCTTTAAGTTTAATACATACAATGTGGCTTTTTTTTTTTCCCCTTCCTTCCCCCTCCAAGGTTCTTGCGCAGAACTCTGGCTATGACCCCCAGGAAACACTAGTGAAAGTTCTGGCCGAATATGCAGGATCAGGACAACTTATTGGAGTTGATCTGAACACTGGTAAGAAACTTTAAAATATGTTCAGACAATTAGGATTAATTTTTGCTTTGAGCCCTCAAAATGGTGCTGTTTCTGCTGAGGAGGAAATGGAGCTTTTATTTAATGTACAGCAAGTCCATCATGCTTTGGCTTCCAAAGATGTTTCAAGACTGGTGGAATTTTTGTAAGATCTTCTGGCAGATTTTCAGTCGGCAGCTTCTTTAGTTGTTTAGATTTACAAGAAGAATATTTCCTAGAAGAATACTTCACTCGTGATGAATAATGTTAATTTCAATATAGCTTTATGCAAGAGAATTAATTAACTGACTTGGTGAGCCACTGCTCCACATTTGGAGGCTCAGACACTCCATTTACAAAGTATATGTGTTACAGTGAAAAATACGGGCACACAAAGATGAAGGCCAGTGTTTAGTATGAAGTAGGAGATACTTTGGTTTGCCTCTTGGTGGCAGCAGCAAGTGTTCTGCTAGAAGGTGGGAATGGGTGAAGGGATGGATCACTTGATTACCTGTTCTGTTCATTCCCTCTGGGACATTTGGTATTGGCTACTGTCAGAAGACAGGAGATTGGGCTAGATGGACCTTTGGTCTAACCCAATATGGCCATTCTTATGGTGGGGGTGGGGGGAGAACATGTTAATGTCTTGTGATTTCCTATTGTCTGTAACAAGATTTTTGAACTACATTAATAAAATGCATTAATTGCCTAAAAGGGGATTTATTTTGCATTCCCAGGTGAACCAATGGTGGCGGCGACAGCTGGAATTTGGGATAATTATAATGTCAAAAAACAACTACTTCATTCATGGTAAATTCTTTGTAATTTTTTTTTAATTTTAAATTAAAATAGGTTTCCATTGCTACTAGTCAAATTTGATGGATTGATATGGGATGGGTTAATCTTCACAGAAATATTTTATCTAAATAAATATTTTATCTAAATGTACAGTGTAGAAATATAACTATTGTCTCACATGTTTTTATAAAAATGACTAGTCTTGATATCTGTTTCACCTCTGTCTGCCATAGAGAAATCAAACTTCTTAAATAAGCCAAGATTGGTTTATAATAACTTACAGAATGACACTTCAACAGCCGGTACAAGTTTTTTAACAAGTTAGTGAATGTAGAACATAATCTACAGAGTGGGTGTGTGAAGTGGGGACTGAAGGGGGGAGATGCATGCAGTTGGTACTCTTGTTTGGATGAACTGTAGAATAATACAGAAGTTTTGACCATCAATGTTTTGATCTTTTTAGCACGGTGATCGCTAGCAACATTCTTTTGGTTGATGAAATTATGCGAGCTGGAATGTCGTCTCTCAAAGGTTGAACTGAATCTGCCCTCTGCTGTGATGGTTGCCTTGAGTAGGGAGATGCCCTTAAGTAACTTCAAAAAAAAAAAAAAAATCCAGCTACAGGCATTATTTTCTCCAGCCTCCAGTGGATCTTCACAGTAACAGAAGTAGCCCTCTCTTTGGAGTATACATAGCCACTCTCAAACATTCGCTCCTATTCAAATATTAGGTTCTAAAATCAGTTATTTATTTTTTTTCTTAATTGCACTGAAATGTACAACAGTCTTTTTACCCAATAAACAGTTCTGCTCTGTGCTTATTTTGTAGTGGTGTCAGTTTTGCTTGGGATGGCTAATGTGGGACAGGTCAATGTAGTTATGTAATTGTCAGCTGGGAGGAAATGTCACTTATCTGTACACCTCTTTCTGGATATTGCTAGAATACCCCCAGCAGGGATGACTTTCTGTGGCTCATGTACACATGCAGATTGGATTGCACCAAACTCCACTCTTAGCAAATCTTTCAAGCTTCAAAGAGAGTCTCCATAGGATTTGTGAAGAATACCTTTTAGTTGTCTGGGAGGCAATATGTTTTAATGTGTAGGACACTGCACTGGGTGAGTGTCAGTCTGGATTCTTTTCCTAGCTATGCGACTGATTTACGGCCGTTAATGTCAGCTCTATGCATCAGTTTCCCTGTCTACAAAGTGTGTGGGGCGGGGGTAAACAACACCTTCATTTGTAAAGTGATATGAGATCTATAGGTGGAAAGCTGTGCATATTTATAGGCATAATTCTTATAATTTAATTAGCAATGTATAATGGTGATCTACAATCCAGGGTGTTTTTAAAATAGTCCACAAACCTGCTGGCAAGTTCCTAGAGTGTTTGGGGTTTTTTTTATTGGCAGAATCTGATAACTCGGATGCGAATTCACCAATGACACAAGCTGCTTGAGCAGCAGCTTGAGGAGTTTAGGGGGAGGGATGGACAGGAACTCTTTGACAAACCTTGAACTAGACCCAGCTGCAATGCCATCAAAACTTCAAGTATGGGATCAACTGGTTGAGATCTGGCCTGATATCACTGTGGGTAATGTAGATTCTTACTTCAGTTGCCTGCCTGTTCTGTTTTCCACATTACAGAACTTCTAGCTTCAGTCTTGCATGCCTTTTGTTGTAATGGTAATCAAGAAATGTTTAACTTCTTTCAACTCTAGCCGTGCTTACTAATTTATCCTGTTACATTTGGTTTTTTGTGAATATGGGCATTGGTCTGATAATTCCTTGCGCATTATCCCCCACCATGGAGCTTGGGTGAACAAGGAATACAGTATGAGGCCTACTGAGTAAAAGCAAAATCCTGAAACAATATCTTGTAACACTAGTCATACGTCACTACCTGAAGAATCAGTCTTTGGAGAGTTGAGTTAAAAAGCAAGCCTCTGTACTTGTGTATGGAAGAGCTCATAAAGAGTCTCTAAAACTGCAAAATTTCCTCTGCAGAAAATCTCAATATCTCAGTAAGAGTAGGTTCAAGAATTGAAATGCTGTGTCCTCTTGACTGAGCAGGTAGGGTAGCTAGTGCTTTCCCCATTTAAAGGGACGCAATATAAAAGCTAGTCACTTTCCAAAAAAAAAAAGGAAAAAACCGTTCCAGGATCTACACCATCTGTAGGATGGTCTGCGTCTATGGGAGCCTACAGTCCCCTCCCCTCCCTCATGTTTTAAAAATCAAAACACCTTTCATTTGTCATGGTAATGAAAACCCATGCAAAGCAGACCAAGTGCATACCTCCCCCATAGAAAGCACAAAAATGATCGTGTGAAAAGTGTCAAGTGCCCAAAATCGGTTTGGATTTTAGGCTTGCTTTTGGGGGGAGAAGGGTAAGATATTTTCCCCCTCTTTAAATGAGAGGGATCCTAGGTATTCTGGGTACCAATTTTAAGGAAAACGCTTCAGTGAAAAGTGATTGGCTTTTGCCTCTTGAACACCAAATGGCTTGTGCACTAATTTAATGCACCGTCAGGAGCGATCCTGCACGGGCTGGGTTTTGGTTATGGCTTAAATATGACTTAATTTCCACACCGACTCCATATACGCAGAAGCCAGCTTCTCTGCTGCCGCTTGTGCACATACTCCTCCCCTTTCATCACCCCCCGGCTTTCGTTTCCATGCAGGGGGAGGCGGGGACTCGGGCCGGGAAGATCTTTGACTGGCCTCCCTTCTAGCCGGAGATCCCGGAAGCATTTCAGCCCAGTACCCAGCCTTTCTGCGTCACAGGCAGCCTTTCCACCTCCTCTTCTAATTCATCTCCTGTCCCCGATGCTACCCTGCTCCTCTGCTGGGAGAGTGCAGCTGGCTCTCCTGTTAGGCACCTGTGTGTTAGGGAGCAGCTCCAGTCTGCAAGGTGAGTTCATGTGTCCAAAGCATGCCTTGCTCCACCTTTCCGTTCCACCTCCTTTACCCTTTACACTCTTTCATTGCAGCAGAGCTTAATAAGTGGTGCCTGCCCCCACTTAATGACTTTTTCCCCTTCTGTCAGGGGCTGCATTAACCGGAACTCATTTCAAGGAAGTGTCTTCCCTGACTCTCACCACCCTAAATCCTTCTCCCGGAACAGAGACTTGAAGTACTGCCTTAAAATGAATCCTTAACTGCCTGAAAACAAGGAAGAAAGGGCCCATCTGTTCCCTTTTAAATAGATTTGAAGGAACCAGTATCAAACTCTTAAACTTATTCCAGCAGTTAGGTGAAATGAGCAATGTAAAAAGAGACCAGCACCCCCACCTCCAAACTTTGGAAAAGTTAGCTGGGAGATCCATCCCTTCACTGACTCTAAAGTGCAAGCTTAAGACAGAATCCTCCTGGATACCCCACAAAGTTCAGCTCTAGATCTGATGTTTGTGATGCTGGGGAGGCTAGGGGAATTCCCTTCCTACTCATCTTCCCTTCTTCGCACCCCCATGCCCAAATTTGTTTCCTAGCTGTAAAGGTCTGGTAACTTCCCCACTCCGATGTATTTTTCCCTTCTCTTTCTTTCTGAAGGTTTGCACAGTCATTTCTAAATATGTTAACGCAGTATTTAATCCTGGGCCTGCCCATCTCTGGAGGGGCTACTCCTTTCAGAGTTTCCCTCGTGAATCCCTGGGTCATTTGATGCAGCTGAAAAGTGACAGACCTTGAATACTTTCAAAGGAGATTCCTCTGGTGGCCTGAAATCCTGCATGTAAAAACTGATGAGCGAGACTAGATGCCAGGAGTGAATACTCAAAGCAATACCCAGGAATGCTGCTCTTTATAAATTGCCATCAAACAACCACTGAGTCTAATCTAAAGCAACAGATTGAGCTGCAGTTGTCCTCAGTGAACCCTTCATAGTGTAAAAAGAAAAGGAGTACTTGTGGCACCTTAGAGACTAACCAATTTATTTGAGCATGAGCTTTCGTGAGCTACAGCTCACTTCATCAGATGTTTACCGTGGAAACTGCAGCAGACTTTATATACACACAGAGAATATGAAACAATACCTCCTCCCACCCCACTGTCCTGCTGGTAATAGCTTATCTAAAGTGATCAACAGGTGGGCCATTTCCAGCACAAATCCAGGTTTTCTCACCCTCCACCCCCCACACAAATTCACTCTCCTGCTGGTGCTAGCCCATCCAAAGTGACAACTCTTTGCATAATCAAGTCGGGCTATTTCCTGCATAGATCAAGGTTTTCTCACATCCCCCCCACCCCCATACACACACAAACTCACTCTCCTGCTGGTAATAGCTCATCTAAACTGACCACTCTCCAAGTTTAAATCCAAGTTAAACCAGAACATCTGGGGGGGGGGGGTAGGAAAAAACAAGAAGAAACAGGCTACCTTGCATAATGACTTAGCCACTCCCAGTCTCTATTTAAGCCTAAATTAATAGTATCCAATTTGCAAATGAATTCCAATTCAGCAGTTTCTCGCTGGAGTCTGGATTTGAAGTTTTTTTGTTTTAAGATAGCGACCTTCATGTCTGTGATTGTGTGACCAGAGAGATTGAAGTGTTCTCTGACTGGTTTATGAATGTTATAATTCTTGACATCTGATTTGTGTCCATTTATTCTTTTACGTAGAGACTGTCCAGTTTGACCAATGTACATGGCAGAGGGGCATTGCTGGCACATGATGGCATATATCACATTGGTGGATGTGCAGGTGAACGAGCCTCTGATAGTGTGGCTGATGTTATTAGGCCCTGTGATGGTGTCCCCTGAATAGATATGTGGGCACAATTGGCAACGGGCTTTGTTGCAAGGATAAGTTCCTGGGTTAGTGGTTCTGTTGTGTGGTATGTGGTTGTTGGTGAGTATTTGCTTCAGGTTGCGGGGCTGTCTGTAGGCAAGGACTGGCCTGTCTCCCAAGACTTGTGAGAGTGTTGGGTCATCCTTTAGGATAGGTTGTAGATCCTTAATAATGCGTTGGAGGGGTTTTAGTTGGGGGCTGAAGGTGACCGCTAGTGGCGTTCTGTTATTTTCTTTGTTAGGCCTGTCCTGTAGTAGGTAACTTCTGGGAACTCTTCTGGCTCTATCAATCTGTTTCTTTACTTCTGCAGGTGGGTATTGTAGTTGTAAGAAAGCTTGACAGAGATCTTGTAGGTGTTTGTCTCTGTCTGAGGGGTTGGAGCAAATGCGGTTGTATCGCAGAGCTTGGCTGTAGACGATGGATCGTGTGGTGTGGTCAGGGTGAAAGCTGGAGGCATGCAGGTAGGAATAGCGGTCAGTAGGTTTCCGGTATAGGGTGGTGTTTATGTGGCCATTGTTTATTAGCACTGTAGTGTCCAGGAAGTGGATCTCTTGTGTGGACTGGACCAGGCTGAGGTTGGTGGTGGGATGGAAATTGTTGAAATCGTGGTGGAATTCCTCAAGGGCTTCTTTTCCATGGGTCCAGATGATGAAGATGTCATCAATATAGCGCAAGTAGAGTAGGGGCTTTAGGGGACGAGAGCTGAGGAAGCGTTGTTCTAAATCAGCCATAAAAATGTTGGCATACTGTGGGGCCATGCGGGTACCCATAGCAGTGCCGCTGATCTGAAGGTATACATTGTCCCCAAATGTGAAATAGTTATGGGTAAGGACAAAGTCACAAAGTTCAGCCACCAGGTTTGCCGTGACATTATCGGGGATAGTGTTCTTGACGGCTTGTAGTCCATCTTTGTGTGGAATGTTGGTGTAGAGGGCTTCTACATCCATAGTAGCCAGGATGGTGTTATCAGGAAGATCACCGATGGATTGAAGTTTCCTCAGGAAGTTAGTGGTGTCTCGAAGGTAGCTGGGAGTGCTGGTAGCGTAGGGCCTGAGGAGGGAGTCTACATAGCCAGACAATCCTGCTGTCAGGGTGCCAATGCCTGAGATGATGGGGCACCCAGGATTTCCAGGTTTATGGATCTTGGGTAGTAGATAGAATATCCCAGGTCGGGGTTCCAGGGGTGTGTCTGTGCGGATTTGATCTTGTGCTTTTTCAGGAAGTTTCTTGAGCAAATGCTGTAGTTGCTTTTGGTAACTCTCAGTGGGATCATAGGGTAATGGCTTGTAGAAACTCGTGTTGGAGAGCTGCCGAGCAGCCTCTTGTTCATATTCCGACCTATTCATGATGACAACAGCACCTCCTTTGTCAGCCTTTTTGATTATGATGTCAGAGTTGTTTCTGAGGCTGTGGATGGCATTGCGTTCCGCATGGCTGAGGTTATGGGGCAAGTGATGCAGTATCCCCGATAATGTCACGGCTAACCTGGTGGCTGAACTTTGTGACTTTGTCCTTACCCATAACTATTTCACATTTGGGGACAATGTATACCTTCAGATCAGCGGCACTGCTATGGGTACCCGCATGGCCCCACAGTATGCCAACATTTTTATGGCTGATTTAGAACAACGCTTCCTCAGCTCTCGTCCCCTAAAGCCCCTACTCTACTTGCGCTATATTGATGACATCTTCATCATCTGGACCCATGGAAAAGAAGCCCTTGAGGAATTCCACCACGATTTCAACAATTTCCATCCCACCACCAACCTCAGCCTGGTCCAGTCCACACAAGAGATCCACTTCCTGGACACTACAGTGCTAATAAACAATGGCCACATAAACACCACCCTATACCGGAAACCTACTGACCGCTATTCCTACCTGCATGCCTCCAGCTTTCACCCTGACCACACCACACGATCCATCGTCTACAGCCAAGCTCTGCGATACAACCGCATTTGCTCCAACCCCTCAGACAGAGACAAACACCTACAAGATCTCTGTCAAGCTTTCTTACAACTACAATACCCACCTGCAGAAGTAAAGAAACAGATTGATAGAGCCAGAAGAGTTCCCAGAAGTTACCTACTACAGGACAGGCCTAACAAAGAAAATAACAGAACGCCACTAGCGGTCACCTTCAGCCCCCAACTAAAACCCCTCCAACGCATTATTAAGGATCTACAACCTATCCTAAAGGATGACCCAACACTCTCACAAGTCTTGGGAGACAGGCCAGTCCTTGCCTACAGACAGCCCCGCAACCTGAAGCAAATACTCACCAACAACCACATACCACACAACAGAACCACTAACCCAGGAACTTATCCTTGCAACAAAGCCCGTTGCCAATTGTGCCCACATATCTATTCAGGGGACACCATCACAGGGCCTAATAACATCAGCCACACTATCAGAGGCTCGTTCACCTGCACATCCACCAATGTGATATATGCCATCATGTGCCAGCAATGCCCCTCTGCCATGTACATTGGTCAAACTGGACAGTCTCTGCGTAAAAGAATAAATGGACACAAATCAGATGTCAAGAATTATAACATTCATAAACCAGTCGGAGAACACTTCAATCTCTCTGGTCACGCAATCACAGACATGAAGGTCGCTATCTTAAAACAAAAAAACTTCAAATCCAGACTCCAGCGAGAAACTGCTGAATTGGAATTCATTTGCAAATTGGATACTATTAATTTAGGCTTAAATAGAGACTGGGAGTGGCTAAGTCATTATGCAAGGTAGCCTGTTTCTTCTTGTTTTTTCCTACCCCCCCCCCCCCCCAGATGTTCTGGTTTAACTTGGATTTAAACTTGGAGAGTGGTCAGTTTAGATGAGCTATTACCAGCAGGAGAGTGAGTTTGTGTGTGTATGGGGGTGGAGGGGATGTGAGAAAACCTTGATCTATGCAGGAAATAGCCCGACTTGATTATGCAAAGAGTTGTCACTTTGGATGGGCTAGCACCAGCAGGAGAGTGAATTTGTGTGGGGGGTGGAGGGTGAGAAAACCTGGATTTGTGCTGGAAATGGCCCACCTGTTGATCACTTTAGATAAGCTATTACCAGCAGGACAGTGGGGTGGGAGGAGGTATTGTTTCATATTCTCTGTGTGTATATAAAGTCTGCTGCAGTTTCCACGGTAAACATCTGATGAAGTGAGCTGTAGCTCACGAAAGCTCATGCTCAAATAAATTGGTTAGTCTCTAAGGTGCCACAAGTCCTCCTTTTCTTTTTGCGAATACAGACTAACACGGCTGTTCCTCTGAAACCTTCATAGTGTAGATTCTCTAACGGTTCCTTCACAATAAAACCTCTGTGCATTTACAAAACTTTCATAGGGCAGATCCAGGCTGTGTGGGCTGGGGGTGTTTTGTGCTGCTAGTCTGATTCCTTTATGTGGTTAATCTGTTGCCATGCAGAGGAGCTGTCTTTCAGATATCAGTATCTTCAGCAGCAGTGGTCCTGTAGCATATTAAGAGATTCCTAACTCTGCTGCTTATCCCCTGTGACCTAGAGTGAGTCACTTAGCCTCTCTGCCTCAGTTACTCCAGCTGTAAAATTGAGATAACAATACTTCCTTGTTTTCCTCCTAGGAGAGTAGAGAGAATGAGTGAATGGACTAAATTTTTCTCAGGGATAATTTCATTGATTTCCATGGAGTTACACCAGGAATAAGCTCAGTGTACTCTGTGCAAAGGACTTTCAAGATATAAAGCACTGTCTAGATGCTAGGTATAATTATCAACTTTCTATTCTCCTCCTTCCCCAGCATGCAGACATACCTCTAGCGAAGAATGTACGCACTCCAAGATTTTGTTACTAATTAATGTTATATTGGATCACAACATCTCTCATAGTTTTTGAAGATGATGGAAACATGGTACAACTGCCTGGCGGGAAGTTCCAAATGGGAGCAAATTCACCTGACAGTAAAAATGAAGGGCCTCTCCAGGAAGTGACAGTGAAGTCATTTGGTATTGACAAATATCCTGTCACCAACCGGGATTTCAGGTGAGGCCTACACTTAGCGTTTGCTTAGTTTGCAGAGACTGGATGGCGCAGGGTGGTGGAGACTTTCAGCTATATGCAGTTGGTCTGGGTAGTGACTGAAGCTATCTTTGCTGAGTTTACCTTTGTTGGCAGCCGCAGTAAAACGTCAGCAGCCCCCCATCAATTCTCCCAGTGCCTCCCACCCACCGGCAGCCCTGCCGATTAGCACCTCCCTTCCTGCACCTCCTGATCAGCTGTTTCGTGGTGTGCAGGAAGCTAGGGTGGGGAGGGAGGAGCAAGGGCATGGCAGGCTCAGGGAGGGGGTGGAGTGGGGGCAGGGCCTGTGGCAGAGCCAGGGGTCAAGCAGTGAGCACCTCTGGCACATTGGAAAGTTGGCACCTGTAGCTCCAGCCCCGGAGTCGGTGCCTGTACAAGGAGCCGCAGGTTGGCCACCCCTGCACTAGACTATGTATTGGAGGGACTATCCTGCATTGGCACAGAGATTATTCTGATATCTTAATGAGTCCTTTTTGGACGTGCCGAGAAGCTCATCTTGAGTCTCAGCTATTTTGGGAGGCGATAGAACACAGATTGGGCAGGGTTATTCACTGCCCTGGATAATTACATTTTGGGGACAGATTTGCAATAGGAGCAGTGGATTTAAGTGGTTGCATGTGGCTTTTGTTCAATGTGAATTTTTGCAAAGTGCACTCACAGCTTAGAATAGGAACTTCTAGTAACTCTGCTGCCTTGATTGGTTGGTTTTTTGGGTTGTTTTGTTTTAATAAATCTAAATAAAGAAACTCAATAAATTTTGTTTTTAAATATTAAAAAAAGTTCACATCAGTATAGCAGTTCCATTCAACCAATACGAACTGGGTCAGTTTCATCTCTAAACCTAACTCCATTGAGCTGATTGGATTTACGCCAGGGGCTCAATAAACTATAAATGGTGTGAATAGCTCTTGTAAATTACATTTACTTTTATCAACTTCTTATGCATGTGGATCATTAAATTTTGTGGTGTTAACCTTGTGGGAGTGCTACCCAGAGACCTATATCTGACATGTTTACACCAGGGAGTTTGTTCGAGAAAAGAAGTATAAAACTGAAGCAGAAGCCTTCGGCTGGAGCTTTGTCTTTGAGGATTTTGTATCCAAAGAGCTGAAAAAAAAAGTGACCCAAAAACTGGAGGTAAAGTGCATTTGGAGTGTGTAAAGTGACATGAACAATATGTTATGGGGTTGATGGTGAAAAGAGGGCTGTGGTGTTTGTCCTTGGAACTCAGAGTGGTGTCCGGATGGTGGAATAAATACAAGCAAATCCATTCCTGAAAAGTCTACTATTTATGTTGTAGCCTTATGTGAAGAAAGGAGACGTTAACTTCAACTCTAGCCAGGTGCCCAGAAAAAGGAATGCAAGCCTTTGGAAAGCTTAGGCTCCACACCGCAGGGATTAGGAGGGAATTGGATTCCTCACTGGGGAGTTTTTCACTTTATTTCCTGACCGTGTTACCTTTATTTGTTTGTCTTGCTATAAACATTAACCCCTGAGGGAAAGACTTTGTTGATTGCAATGGGTATTTTTTTTTCTGCTGAATACTACCACCGGGTAACAACTGGTTTAATATTTTGGCTTTTTCTCTGCCTGGTTCTGCTCCCATTGAAACCAAGAGCAAAACTCCTGTTGACCCCAATAAGAGCAGGATTATGCCTTACCTGATTTAAGGCCCCAGTTTGCAGAGTGTACAGTAGGGTCTGCTAGGCGAGTATGGAGAGAGCAAGGCATCTCCTGATATTTATTCAACAGAATTGCAAACAGGGAAGCCTACATTTTTAAAGGAGTTTTGTAAATCTTGAATTTTCTTTTTAAAATCAGATGCCCCCTGTACCTTACTTATGAGCTTTATAGAAATGTCTTTAAAATGAACCAGCTGCTCATATCCAGCCACAGAATCTAACCATATCCAACTCAAAAACACTCCGCATGCTGTGAAATGGGTTAAGCACCAAGAGTCAAGGCTTGAGGACGATTCAATGGCAGGATTGTGTTTTAATCTGGTCTCTTTTTTTCCTTTTTCTTAGTCTGCCCCTTGGTGGTTGCCGATTGACAATGCATTTTGGCGACAGGTGAGCAGTCCAAAGGAGCGAATTGCAATCCCATAGGGCTTCAGAGACTGTCTGCTTATGGGCTGAACTTCAGAGGGGAGAAGAAACGGCATTAATTACAACGTTAGCAATTCCACTCACATAAAAGGAGGAAATTGAGAGTTAAGCGCAGAGACTCCTCTGTGATTTTCAGAGGAGTCTCCGGGAATTAGATGTTCAAATCTCCCACTGCAATTTACTAGGCTGTGGGTGCCTAATTCCCTTAGGCTCATTTGAAAATCCGTACCAGAATAACTAGCAAAAGGAGTGGTAATCAGAAGGGCTGATGACAAGCAGCTGAGGGCACTGGCTGCCCTCCCGGCTATGCACTGTTCTTGTCCGTTTTGTTTATATATTTAGGGGGCACTGTGATTGGAGGAGTTCTGTTAACTACCTGGAAGTGATCACAGGCCACAGTTGATCTGCAGACCTGTTTGAGATCATTGTCTAGGGGATAAACTCCACTACCAGCCAAGTCTTTTTAGCAGAGTAGATAGAACTGGTGTCTATGTGTTACGCAAGTCTCTGAGGGTATATCCTTAACTGAGACAGATGCATATCCTCCAGTCTTTAGTTAGATTGATTTCTGCCAAGTAGTCAAAGGCAAGGTGCCCTGTACCATGTAGAAAAAGATAAAAGGATGCATTTCCAAATCCTGCAGAAGTTCAGAGTATGATCTTTATACATTCATGTGAAGCAGGCTGGGCCAGTATTTCGACCATTAACCTGAGACCTAGGTTCAATTCCTTGCTCTGCCACAGACTGTCTTACTTAATATTTATCATTTGTACCCTCCCCGCCTTTCAGAAAGTTGTCTTGGGCTAATGAATGCTTTTGGTGTTAAAAAAAATATGTCCACAGATTTTTCTTGCCCCCGACCCCCCATAGATTTCAAAGGTGTAGCCACCTTAGCTGACAAGCCATTGAACGCCTGAAGTCCAAGATTCTTGTCTATTTCAGTACTTTACAGATAGGCAGAGCAAAGTGGGTGGTGGATGCTCATGGCAGCACATCATAGATGATGTGTCTAATTGTAGGCCTCCCAGACTCTGTACTGTTCCCTGTTGTTGGGTTTATTTTACATAAAGTTTTTATGGTTCAATGAAAACCTGTTAAATGAAATTCTCCTCAGCCAGCAGGTCCAGGATCTGGGATAAAAACCAAGCTGGACTACCCCGTGCTACACGTGAGCTGGAATGATGCACAGGCATACTGCAAGTGGAAAGGGAAGAGACTCCCTACTGAGGCAGAGTGGGAATTTGCTGCAAGGGGAGGACTAGAGAGTATGTAAGAAAAGCTCTTTGAGCTGATCTCTTTCAAACCAAACTAAGTCATCAAATAATTATAGTTGAGTCTATGGTGGGATGGCAGGGGACCAGACTCAAAGCTCTACCTTCCCTTCTGCTGGGGGGTTCTGGTCTCCGCAGGGAGATGTGGGTGGAAGTCAGATTAGATGATCTAATGGTCCTTTCTGGCCTTAAAACCCATGACTCTATGAAATTAGTTACATGAATACATTTTGGAGCCATCTCTCTGATTAAAGCTCTGGAGGCCAAATTCTCTTCTCAGTAATGAGAGCTGGGTCTGGCCCTTAATGTTCATGCTTTGCAGTGCATTCTGCCAGGAATAATGGGCTGTCCTGGAGTTGACTACAAAGATGTGCTTTGCCTGGGGGAGCTGGATAGCATTAGGTGTTCAGTTATGAGGCATGGCCCTGAGAAGTGAACTTGGCTTGATCCACTTACAATTGAGATATGAACATCAAAGCTTGTGGAACTCATTGCAACAGGACGTCATTACGGCCACAGGTGAAATCCTGGCCCCGTTGTAGTCAAACGGGAGTTTTGTCACTGACTTTGATGGAGCCAAGACTTTGTCCCAATAGTTTAGGAAGATTCACAGAGGGATTGGATGTTTATAGGGATAACAAGAATATCCAGAGTTATAACAGTTAATGCAAAATTTAAAAGAAGAGTGTAGGAAGGGATTACAAAATCTCATGCTGCAAGATTTAAACCAGCTTCTATTTGAGATTGAGATGTGACCTGCATGTGGGGCAGATTATCTCCCATCCGCCTGCGTGGAGTTTCTTGCATCTTCCTCTGGAGCGTCTGGTGCTGGCCACGGTCAGAGATGGGATACTGGATCAGGTGGACCCATGGGTTTGATCAAGTGTGTCAATGCCTGTGTTCCCACAGTTTTTTCGTAAGAGAAGAGACATTACCTCTGACATCCAGGTCAAATACCAGCTCCAAATTAATGTCCATCCTAAAAACTCCCCCTGCATTTTCAATCAGGTACAATATTCCTCTTCACTTCACAGCAGTAAGAAGCTGGCAGTGTCCTACTCCAGAGGCAGCTGCATTTTAGTGGTGGATGAACTGATCCCCATGTGTAGTTCATGTTTGTAAATCACTATGTGCAGAAACTGTGATTATTTTTTCCCAAGGAGTCTATGGCAGCTAGATGTTCAAATCTCCCATTGAAATTTAGTAGGCTCTAGGTGCCTAATTCCCTTAGGCTCCTTTGAAAATCCCCACCAGAGTAACTGGCAAAAGGAGTGGTAATCAGAAGGGCTGATGACAAGCAGTTTAGGGCACTGACTGCCCTCCCAGCTATGCACTGTGTCCTTTAGAGTCAAAATGTTTATTTTTAAAACCAATGTATGGTTTCCTTTTGAACATAAGAATGTTCATATTGGATCAGACCAATGATCCATCAAGCCCAGTATCCTGTCTTCCGACAGTGGCTGGTGCTAGATGCTTCAGAGGGAATGAACAGAACAGGGGAATTTATCAAGTGATCTTTCCCTGGTCATCTATCCCAGCTTGTCGCAGTCAGAGGTTTAGGGACACTCAAAGCATGGGGTTGTGTCCTGGACTGTCTTGGCTAATAGTCACTTCCTTATTTACTTTCTCCACATTGGTCATGATTTTATAGACCTCTCTCATATCCCTCCTTAGTCGTCTCTTTTCTAAGATGAACACTCCATCTTTTTAACTTCTCCTCAGATGGAGGCTGTTCCACACCTCAACCTTTTTTTGTTCCCCTTCTTTGTACTTTCCAATTCTAATAGATCTTTTTTGAGATGAGGTGACCAAAATTGCATCACAGTCCTCAAGGTGTGAGCGTACCGTGGATTTATATAGTGGCACTATAATATTTTCCATCTTGTTATCTATCCCTTTCCTGATGGTTCCTAATATTCTTTTAGCTTTTTTTGACTGGTGCTGTACATTGACCAGATGTTCTCTGAGAACTATCCACAATGACTTCAAGATCTTTCTTGTGCTATAACAGCTAATTTAGACTCGCATCATTTGTATGTATAGCTGGGATTATGTTTTCCGTATGCATCAGTTTGCATTTATCAACATTGAATTTCATTTGCCATTCTGTTGCCCAGTCTCACCCAGTTTTGTCTGATCCCTTTGTCACTCTTTGCAGTCAGCTTTGGACTTAACTATCTTGAGTAATTTTGTATTGTCGGCAAATTTTGCCATCTCATTGTTTATACCTTTTGCCAGATCGTTTATGCATATGTTGAACAGCACTGGTCCCTGTACATCAGTGAGAAAGGGTAAAGCTGACAGTTCCTACTGGTATCCTGGTTTGATCAGGAAGGAAATAATTGGTCCCGCCTCTTCTTTTTTGACAGGCAGAGTATATCCTTGGGGGAACAAATTTCAACCAAATCGTACAAATCTCTGGCAGGTAGGGTCTTAATACCATCATGTCTGTTACGGGTTGTCTTGATGGCTTATTGATGAAGAAAAATGTCCTAAAGTGACCTAAGGAAACATTTAGCTAGTAAATCATACTGACTTGTCTTCAAGATATTGAACATCAGCTGGTAGGGCTCCCAGGTCAGTTGTTAAATTTGCCACCATTTGACTCTCTTCCCTCCCCCTCCCCCCCAATCTCCAGGATTTAGAATGTAAAGGTAATATTTATCCATAAATATTTAATATTTATACAGAATATCCTTGCAAGGTGGCAATCTCACCCTGCTCTCTATGGCGGAAGTGGAATCCAGATTCCTCAACATTTGTGGCTGTTGAGGTTCAGAGTTTCACGAGGGAGGGATCTCCCTGTTTAGCACTTGGAATGGTTGAACTATTGTTTCCTCATACTGAAATATCTTCACGTTGTGTAATTTACGACTGTTAGACTGTTTCCATTATTTTAAGCATGAGGAGGTTCTGTAAAGCGCAAGCTCCTTTCTGTGCCATCCTGGGTGAGGTTTATTTGGGTTTTTTTTCTTCGAGTAAAATCCTCTCTTCACACAGGGAATCTTCCCAAAGATTGATACGGCAGAAGATGGTTACCATGGTGTTTCCCCAGTGAACGCATTCTCTCCTCAGAACAACTACGGTATGGACTAGTAGGCACCTTTGCCCCAGTTTGCAAATGAATTCTTTTGTTAATTTCAATTTAGAAATAATAAAATAACGCCTTAAGATTGTAGCTGGACTTTAAAACCTAAACTGACATGGAGTTTCTTGGCATTTAAATATGTTGATGCTGGGCACATTGAGATTTCTGAATGCTGTTTAAATTGGCTGATGTTGACATGAGACATTTTAACACAACAGGCATGACATTGCCTGCAATGATTTATAATAATGATACTTGATGACTTTTTGTCCTTCAGTAATGCTTTTCAGCTGAGAATCTCAAAGCACTTTATTAATATTATCTAATTAAGCTTCACAATGTCCTTTTGAGGGTAAGCAAGCATTATTACCCCACTAAATAGATGGTCACAGCGAAGTTTGGTGATCTGCCCAAGGTCACGGTGAGTGTGTATTAGAGCTGGGAATAAAACCCAGAGCTTCTGATTCCTGGTCACCTGCTCTAGCCATTAGACCATGCTCTTCTGATGGCGTCTTAAACAACCCTCACTGCACCAAAGTGCTTCCAAAAGGGCTTTGTATTGACAGTGTATGTGTCCTCCTATGGATCCTAATTAAGCAATTTCTATATCTCAGGGCTCTATGACCTATTAGGAAACACCTGGGAATGGACTGCATCAGAGTATCAACCTCATGGACCTGTATCAAGGCAGCGTGCCCAGAAAATGCACGTCCTGCGAGGTGCATCTTGGATTGACACAGTGGACGGATCGGCCAATCACAAAGCTCTTGTTACTACTAGGTAGGTTTACTTACTGCTGTGGCCAGGTGCTATTTTGCACCACATTGGGGGGCTTATAGTAACTTAACCTTCATTACATAGATTTATTTAAAACTTTTTGCTATTTAATAATTTACTTTTAACTAATGTGAAGACCACTTTATTATTATTTATTAATAATAAATCCCCAAACACTTCTCAAATTCTGTATGGACAGCAGCCAATCCTGGAATGAAGGCCAGATGCCAGCTAGTGTATAACACCCAATACAACAGTGTGAGAGGGAAGGGAAAATAACATAAGGATAGAAATTATAACAATGAAGTGTAATTAACAGTGGGAAATAATGTTCAACTGTTTTAAATCATACAGACAAACTCATTTTTGTCAGCGATTATGTAAATGACAATTTCTGAATAATTAAATTGCTTTGCCTTCCTTCTGCATATTAATTATTGTCAGAAGATCTCATTTAAAAAGCCCGGGGGAGGAACTGCATCACTCATCAGCCCCTTTGCAGCAATTCTGTACATCAAGTGGTAGATTTTCCCAAATGCTCTGCTCTCATTTAGACCCCTAATTTAAATGGCCAGATTTTTTTTTAATTAGCACAGTATGTTGATGGTTGAGTTATTTTGAAAATCTGGCCACTTACTTAGGTGCCTACATTGGAGCTGAGCTCTTCGAAAATGGCCCCATGTGTCAGTATCATTTTAGGATTGGCTGCCTTTCTGGAAGATTTGCTTTAGTCAAAGACAGGTTAGTGGGCTCAAAACAGGGATCACTATGGCCTGTGTCATTGAGGGGGTCAGATTAGACGATCTAATGGTCCCTCCTGGCCTTAAAATCTATGACTGAATCGACATAGGAGGGGTGTTTTTGTCCTTTCCCAGGATGGGAAACACACCAGACTCTGCCTCAGATAACCTGGGTTTCCGCTGTGCTGCCCACATCCTGAGTCGGAAAACGGAGAGTAAAACAGAGCTGTGATGACATCACTTATTGGAATGGTCCTGAGATGTTTTCTCCCGTGGAGACGCCAGCGATTCCCTGCAGCTATGTTGGATCGAAGTTTGGCGAGTTTTAAAAATAAACATTTGCTACTAATGGTCAGTGTCAGAGTGGAGGGTGTAGACACTGAAGGTGGTTTTGTCCAGTTGTCTCAATTCTTTTTGACTTTTTAAGAAGATGCTGCTGCTCTCTTTTCAGCTAACTTCAGCCATCCATCCCCGTGGGCCCAGTCCTGCAAACACCTACACACGTGAGTAGTCCCAGGGACACCGATGCTGCTGCTCATGAGTCAACTCTTGCAGCCTTTGCTTAGGCTCTTACTTGCCTAAATTCCTTTTGGAAAAAACTGGGAGTTTTGCTTGAGTAAAGATTGCAGGACTTGGCTCTGTAGGAGTAAGAACTACTCATGTGAGCAAGGGTTGCACTTGTTCCTGCTGGTAACTGAGAAAGACAGGTGTGGGCTGAGCCAGAAATTCCTGAGTTCTAATCCCCGCTCTGACTCAGGGACACTTTAGGTTTGCTACACTACACTCTTCTCCACCCCCCCACCCCAATCCTCTGTGGCCGCAGCTCCACCTGTGCCACTGATGGCGGGAGTGCTAGTGTACATCAGCCACGGCTCTGAGCGCTGTTCCACAACACAGTGTCTAGAATCATGGAACTGTAGGGCTGGAAGGGACCTTGAGAGATCATCCCGTCCAGGCCACAGCACTGAGGCAGGCCCAAGTAAACTTAGACCATCCCTGACCGCTCTTTGTCCAACCTGTTCTTAAAAACTTCCTGTGATTCCACCCCCTCTGTTGGAAGCCTGTTCCAGAGCTTCACTGTTCTTAGAGTTAGAAAGTTGTATTCTCAGTAAATAACCTAAATGTCCCAGGCCCGTGCCAATGACTAGCCTCCACAAACATTCCCATTCTTGCTATCATCACCCATGCTGCCGTGGTGGGAAATTTTAGGAAGCAAGTGCAATGTAGACACAGCCAAGGTGACCTGAGGCCAGTCTCTTGTGCCCAGATTATCCAAAATGCAGATGGGACCTAGTGGGATTTTCAAGAACACCCAGGCATCTGACGCCTGTTGATTTAAAATGGGAATTAAATCAAGCTCCCATTGGTTTAAAAGCACTAGGCACCTATCTCCATCTTTAAGTTGATAAATACCTCTGACAATCTGCCCCTTAACCTCAGCTCTACCTCAGTTTCCCCACCTCGAAAACGGGGATAATAAAACATACTTACCTCACAGGGTTATTGGGAGGACGAATTACTTATTGTCTATAAAGCATTTGAATATAAATGCTAAGCATTACGGCTGAGGTTTACAAAAGGGGGTGAGCTAAAGGAGTTACACATCTAACTCCTATTGGCATCCAGTGGGAGTTGGGCACCTAAAGTCTTAGGCCCCTTTACAAATCCCAGCCTAATATGTTACTTGACAAAAAGAATACAACAGGCACTAGCTTACCAATGCCACGTCACACCAGCTAAGTAAAATGAAGCCTATTTATTGACTTGTAAACAGTTTACAAAACAGACATAAATAAACTGAAGCCCTTGACCATTTTGCCCAATGTGAGGTCTGTATTAGCCCTATATCTTTTAAAATGTCTCCTAAATACACATGCAGTACACAGGTCACCATTAGCTGCAATGTGCATTTTCCGTCATTCAAAGGCTGTTTAAAAACTCAGCCTAAGTTGTTGATGCATAAAATGAATTGCTACTCTTCAGCATAGTGCAGTAAAGCTTTGGAAACAAAACACCTGTCGCACTTAAGGCATCGTTTATAGCTTGACTGGTTATAACAGCGGTAACTAAGGCTGGCCGTGATAATGACATAATGGAATCTGTTGGCTAGGAAGAGTGCTATGTGAGATACTAGTCACCGGTCAGGATATGCCCTATCCCTGATAGAAAGGAAGGAGCCAATCGAGTCCCTTAAGATGAAGGCTCTGATTTCTGGTTTCACATGCAGGTGGCCTTTTGCCGTTTGGGGGATTTGGATGGGTCACTTTTTCCTACTGACACAAATTTGAGAGTGGTGGTTTTGTCACAACTTTCCCCCTCACTCCCCCCCCACGGTTTGGTGGACAGGGAGAGAAGTTTTCCTCAGCTTGTATTAAAGGCTGAGTTATAAACTGCCAATTGTACTACAGCCCAGGGGGGAGGCTTTTTTTTTTTTAAATGTGAAAAATGTGTTAGCCCCAAAGCTAAATGAAGCGAGAGCTCAGTGGATAATACCTAGCTTTTATACAGCACTTTCTATCCGTGGATCTCAAAGCGCCTTACAAAGGAGGTCAGTATCATTAGCCTCATTTTACAGATGGTAAAACAGGCAGTGAACACTTGCCTTTGCAGTGGGGCACCCAAACCAGGCTACTCGTGCCCTGAAAGACTCGATTTTCGAAAGTGATACGGGATAAGCCCACCGTACTTAAGGCCCTGCCGGTGAAGGCTGGTCCCAGAAGCTTGGAAACATGGGTCTCTAATAGCAACAGCCACCTCGTAAAAACAAAGCTTGACCAGCTTTTTCATGTGGTTTTTAACCTCAAGCAATTGAACGTAACTGGTTAGTATTTTGTGAGTGTCCCATGGGTGGGGCTGCTTTCCACACCTCTGCCCCCTTTCCTCCTTGCCTCTAACCATTCAGCGGCCAATCTATCATCTTCACAGAACAGGTCATGCCTGCTACCAAACGAAAGCGAGGCTTTGAAACCTCAGGCTCGCCTGGGCCAGACACTGAGGCCCCAATCTGGCAAGCTGCTTCATAGGGGTGAGCCTCTGCGCCCACATGGAGGTCCCCTGACTGCGCTGGGGCAGGTGCAAAGGTCTGCCTAGGTGTAGCTTACAGGATCGAGGTCCTAGCTGTAAGCAGGAGGGCACCAGCAAGAGCAACATGAGCCTGATTATAGCAAATGGCAATAATAGAAAATATTGCCACCATGGCTGGAGAGGATTTCACACAGATGTGAGGGTGCTCCTTTTGTTACCACAGCTCAGGGGAGCATGGCCCATCCTGCCAATGAAAGGGTGTGGTTCCTATAGGAGAAGCACTAAGTGTATTTTGTTGTTCTTGCATCCCCTATTGGTTCCCTCTGCAGTAGAGAGGGGACAGAGCTGCGATGTTCAGAGCTGGAGCTGTACCCGAATGCCACAGCTAGGATTTTACTTGGGCCCCCAACTCTATTCTTTTTCAAAAGCGCTCAGCTTGGGGACCAATTTTGTGCCTGCAATTCATTCCAGGCCAAAAAAAACCACAACATTCAGGTGGAATTAATGTGGGGCACACGTGCTGGCATTTAAGATGTTCACCTGCCTGATGCAGGTGAATTTACACACACAGTTAATTTTTATTTTATTTTATTTATTTTAGTTAATTTATTTACACACACAGTTAATTACAGCTGCAAAACTTAGAGGCCACGTCTAAAAAATCAGGCTCTTAAATGTCATTTTGGAGGGAAGTTGAATATCGGTATGGCAAGGCCAAATTGTGGAGGCCTTACACAGGCAAAACTCTCATTGAAGTTTGATGGGGCTCTGCAGAGGTTTGTGCACCTGGCAGCTTTTGAAGGCCAAATAAGAATGTCAAGGTTTGGCACACCCTGGGTTTAATATTATCTATTGAGATTTTATTGGGAAAACATAAAGGAGACTGCGGTTAGTTTCCAGAGCATCTGCTTGCCTTAGCGCTTACAAACTTAAGCGAAGACGGTGCTGAAGCAGTTTTACTCAGGGCTAAATCAAAAGAACGCTTCCTCTGCAGCTAAGCTCAGCAAAATCACCTTTGCAGTGTTCTCAAACAGGGCTGCTCTGTTCTGTGCTTCTCCTTTCTTCACCCAGTGTCCATAGATTCTAAAGGCACAGGCATCGATCAATTTGCGAATGGGTTTCAGAGCGTAGGGGTCTCTCATTAGTACCTCCCTGGTAACTGGCTTGACATTCCGATAGTGATGATAGATGCGGACTGATGCCAGAACTGTCAGGCAGATGACCTGAAATGAAAGGTAACCAGTTCATGTGAAAAGGCAAGTGCTTTGGAAAACTGAAATTAATCAACAGACTATCACTTTAAACTGATTCATTAACATAAGAATGGCCTTAGTGGGTCAGACCAATGGTCCATCTAGCCCAGGATCATCCTGTCTTCTGACAGTGGCCAATGCCAGATGCTTCAAAGGGAATGAACGGAACATGGCAATTATGAAGTGATCCATCCCCAGTCGTCCAGTCCCAGCATCGGGAGCATGGGGTCACATCCCTGATCATCTTGGCTAATAGCCATTGACAAACCTATCCTCCATGAACTTATCTAATTCTTTTTTGAAGCTGGCCTTCACAACATCCCCTGGCAATGAGTTCTACATGTTGAATGTGCCTTGTGCAAAGTACTTCTTTTTGTTTGTTTTAAACCTGCTGCCAATTAATTGCATTGGGTGACCCCTGGTTCTTGTGTTATGTAAAGGGATAAATAATACTTCCTCATTCACTTTCCCCATGCCATTCATGATTGTATAGACTCTCTCATATTGTCCCTTAGTCATCTCTTTTCCAAGCCTAACAGTTCCAGTGTTTTTAATCTCTCCTCATATGGAAGCTGTTTCTTACCCTTAATCATGTTTGTTGCCCGTCTCTGTATTTTTTCTGTCTTTAATCTATTTCTTTTTTGAGATGGGGAGACCAGAACTGCACAAATATTCCAGGTGTGGGCATGCCATGGATTTATATAATGGCATGATATTTCCTATCTTCTATTTATCCCTTTCCTAGTGGTTCCGAACGTTCTGTTTGCTTTTTTGGCTGCTGCTGCACATTTAGTGGATGATTTCAGAGAAACATCCACAGTGACTCCAAGATCTCTTTCTTGAGTGGTAACAACTACTTTAGACCCCCATCATTTTGTCATAGTTGGGATTATGTTTTCCAAGATGCATTCCTCTGCATTTATCAACACCAACTTTCATCTACCATTTTGTTCCCCAGTCTACCTTTTCCTTGTTCAAATCCCTCTGTAACACGCTTCTTCCATTAAAAATTTCAGTGGAAACCCACTAGGATATATCAAAAAATAAATGATGTGGGCACTGCTTTTAGCCTGGCCTCCATCTGGTTATCTATAATGTATTAAGTACCTGCACTGTATTGTCTCTCTAAAGCACTAATATACCGGATAGGACTTAAACAAAACGGATCTATTACTTTCCTGTGCATTAGAGATGAACCCAAGCTACAAAATTCAGTCCCAAAGTTTGGCTCCATAGTTACAGTTTGGGCCCATCTTTAACAGCCTGATCCTTCACCCTCATTAACAGTCGAATCAGTGTTGGAGCCGTGGCAGTCGACCATGATGAATAAATAATAAACCAGCTGAAGGCTGAATGCGATCTCGCTTCTAATGTGTTTGAAAGGTCACTGTCAGTCAGTCCTGATGGAAGGGTCTAAAAAACTCTGTTACCTTAAATTTCCTTAAAGGGCTGAAGTACCGCACTTCCTCCACGACATATTGCTGGAAGAACGGGTGGGCCAGCGCATCATTGACTGTGTAGCGCGTCTTAGGATTCACGACCAGGAGCCGGGAAATCTGCAGGAAGGCACAGTCAGACGGACGTACCCCTCTCTCCTTATTGTTACCCCATCCCAGGCGCATTCCGTCAAGTGTCCCCGCTACTGGATTCTTGTCTGTCTTTGGTTCCTCAGGCCTCGAGATTGCATAAGAAGAGCAGTGTCTAGAAATACTTGGAGTGTTATTTATTATTTGTATGACAGTATAGCCTAGAGGCCCTACCCAAGGTTGGGGTGTCATTTCTTTAAGCACTGTATAAACACAGTCTCTACCCCAAAGAGCTTACAGTCCATACACACAAGACTGATAAAGGGTGTGAGGCACAGCGACTAAGTAACTTGCCCAAGATCACACAGGACAGAACCAGGAGTAGAACCCAGGTCTTAGGATACCCATGCTACTGCTGCATCCACCAGGCCACCCTACCCCACTAGTAAAGCCAGAGAGCCATTCCCTTTTTCTCCCATTCCTTCCATGGCAAGTAAGCGCTCACCAGATCTTTGACTGTGTCTGACTGATCATCCCATTCCGGAGAGCTGAACTGGTAATTCCCGCTCATGATCATCCGCAGCATGAGCATCTGCTTCCGGTGCCAGAAGGGCGGGGAGCCAGCCAGCAGGGTGTACATGATCACACCACTACTCCACCTGCCAAAGGCAGAGCCGACCAGTATCAGTCCTCTGGGCACATTCATTAGTATCGCTCACAACAAGGAAGCCAAGACAGGCATAAACTGCAAAATCCTGATCCAGAGCTGGGTGTCAAATGTCTCTGGGGTGCTCGGTTTATTAGACAAATAGGGCCCAGTTATAAAACTGGAGGCCAGAGCAGGGTTCGGGCCTATCCTGGGTTTGTTTGAACCTCACACTCTGTCAAGCTGGGAAAGGGAGGGTTGGCAGAACAGGCCACAACTGTGGAAAAACTGCCTCCGCTGGTAACGAGGAGGGCAGAGTTTCCTCAGGTGGGGCTCATTAGCTAAGGCATATAAGGAGCAAGCATGGGTGTGTGAGGGGCTGTGTGCAGAAGGAGAAATAACCTATGACTTCTCCTGTGTGGGAAAGACCAGGAAGTCGGAGTAGATGCTGAGGTGGAAGAGTGGAGTGGCCCTCCTCACTCGCCAGAGACATTGCGCGAGCTCAGGGAAGCTGTGAGTTAGACTTTTATTCTGGACCTGTTTTGATTTCACTGCTTTAGACTGTGGGGAAGCTTTGGTGGGCCATGAGAGAGAGGGCTATTTTGCCTTTCAGGCCTATCACTGGTGAAGCCACTGGGTCCTGTATGCCCCCCCAGCCCCATCCTGGCAGGATAGGAGTCAGCTGTCTGGACTGTACTGCAGTGTAATTCGGGAGTCTGCACCTGACAAGCCTGTGCTGTCAGGGGTGAGTGTGCTGGCGTCACTCTGTCACGGCTGGCCAGCCAGGAATGGGAGAACCTTGCACAGCAAATAGCCTTTACACCCATGAGGCTTGTCAGGTGCCCGGTTTAATTCAGGTGACTAACGCAAGAAGAGAGCTGACAAAGCAGCTCAGCTGTCTAGCCATTACGTGTCTGTTTACAGTTACTAATCTGCACAGGCCTGGCCTTGCGCCCATTAAAGTCAATGGCAAAGCTCCCATTTGCTTCACTGGGACAAGGATCAGGCCCTAGAAGAGCATTGTTTTCCTGTCTGACTGCTCTCTCAGGGGGTGTATAAAACCCACTTTCAGGGCTTGTTAGTGTGAAAAAGCAAAGAGCCATTTTGGGCACCCAATCGTGCACAGCTCACTATTATTAATGGCACTTACTGCTTTTCACCTACATAGCACTAAGGCCCAGATTGAATTAAGTGGCAGTTAGGTGCCCCAGTACCTTTATGGATCTGGCCCTATGTGTTATTCCCCTTCAAAACCCCCGTTAACAAAGCCTCACAACACCTGTGAGGCAAGTAAGCAGGGTTGTTATTCCCATGTTTTAGACAGTTGATGGTAAATAATACTACTTCTCTAGCACTGTGTGTTCACATAATAGGCAAAGATGAGGAAACTGTGGCAGAGAATTTGTTAGAGCTGGGATTAGAAGTCTGATCTTCCTGGCTCTCAGTTGTATGTGTAGACCACTAGCCCATATACAGTGCGCTGAGCAAATGACAAGCTCTTCACTGACCCCAGCCAGTTGTGGCTGGTATTCCGGTCTCTTATCCTTGGAGACTAGTTTGTATGAGATCCTCTTGCTTTTCCCAGCATCCAAAAGCATGTGCATTTCAGAAGTAAACGCCAGCGCGAAGGGAGGAGATGTTCACTCCAGTTACTAGGAAAGTTTGTCACGACTTATGAATGTTCTACTTACATGTCAACTTCCTTTCCATACCCTGGATGGTCCTTATCCATGGAGCACTCTAATATTTCAGGTGCTAGATAGCCAGGAGTGCCACAGATTTCTGCAAGAAAGGGATGGAACTTTTCACTTTAACATCAGTGAATTTGCAGAGGTTTGTACCACCCTGTAACCAGTAAATAGCTATTCATTGAGCAGATGCTGCTGGACAGAATGTTTCCAGTGTGTGTTATATAGTCCTTAACTATGCTTCACTGGTATCTAATGAGGGTAATCCAATATCGAGTTATAACCTGTAATGTGGGCAAGGAGAAGAGTGACCAAGCCAAACAGCCATTTGTGCCTTTGAATAATCTCATCCCAATGAATTATAAAATAACTAGTATCTGCAAGTAAGATTGTGACTGGGAAAGCTAGTATAGGATGGCACAGGTGTGTGTAACTAGGAGCAACTAGTAGAAATCAAGAGAAAAAATTTAGGATGAACTTCCAGAGGAGAAGCCAGTGTAATGGCCTCCCAAGGGAAGTGGTGGAAGTCCCATCGGTTAAGACGTTTAAAGCAAGGCTTGACAAAGTACCGGTGTATAGGCTGAAGGAGCAAGCCTGCCCTGCCAAGGGGATAGCATAGACAATCTAGAAGGTCTTCTCCTCCTCTGACTGCTGTGATCAAATAATCTTCCCACCTTTGAGCATCTCATCCCTATTCAACTGGCAGGAGAAGCCAAAGTCCATCAGCTTGATGTTCATGTTGTCATCCAGGAGAATGTTCTCCGGCTTCAGGTCTCTGTGGACTATGTTCATGGAATGGAGGTATTGGATCACTTGCAGCAGTGCACGCATGATCTTCCTAGAGGGGAAGATAATGGGATGGGGGAGATAGGTCCTCCTTCTGCCAAGCAACCCATCCAAAAAGAGAACCCATACCCTCTTCTCCTTCTCTCCCCACAGACAGCCTGAAAATGATGGAGAGACACTGAGCCCATCCTGCTTTTAGGCAATGAGATGAGCACTGTAGCTCTGAACCCTAGTGTCCAATTCAGTAGCCCGAGAGTGAGCTTTGCCAGCTGGCCCTAGGAACAGACACTGGTTGTCCTTACGTTCCATTGAAGCTGGGTGTGGACCAAAAGGTGCCTGTAAGTGCAACCCCTTGCACTCCTGACAAGTTGCCAGCTGAGAGCAGCAGTTTTGGGCAACCTCAGGAACTGAAAGGTGTGAAACCTGGGCTGTGAGGAACCCCATTTCAGACCTGGAGACCTTTTGGGGGAGCTTGGGACTAGCGGGTCCAAAGTGCCACTGTTTGTCCAGGCAGAAGTGCTGGCTGAACCACTGTGCTGTTCAAGTCTGTCTCACCATACCTGGTTTCCTTCTCACTTAAGGTGACTTTCTCTGTGAGGTAATCGAAAAGCTCTCCTCTCTTCATTCTGTGTTTAGGAAGACAAGGCATTTAAAGATGCTGGACTTAAGTCACAGCCACAATGTAAAATGGAAATAAAATCTTTGGAATCAACCATTGCATGTAAAATGCAGTGACAATCCTGGAAAAGGTCTACAGGGTTCCCAGTTTCTCTCTGTGACATCAAGCAAATCTCAGTATCTCCAACTACAAGCCTGCAAAAGTCAAGAGTCAGGGCTCAAACAATCAAGAGATTTGGCTTTAAAATCATGAGATTTGTAAAACAATAAATATGGGGTTCTTTTCATTTTGCCTTCTGAACTTTGTACTCTGTGAGGTCACATTTTCAAGCTTTCCTCTAACTATGAGGAACCATACTTAAAAAAAAAAAAAAAAAAAAAAGCTGGGAGTCTCACATAATCACTTGACTCCGGGAGTTGAAGCTTTAAGAAAAACAACAAAGATTATAAGAGTCATGATAAAATCATGAGAGTTGGTAACACTGAATTGTACTCAATTCACAAGTAAAAGGGAGTAGATTTCTCCCCCAATCAATCAGCCCCATAAGCTCACTCTGAGATCTGAGAGTCAAGCTGGGTTCTCTCTGGTTCTTGCATCATGACCAGTAATAAAGTTTTTGCAAATGAACTTGGTTAACAATTCCACTGATGCAGAACTAGGAAAGAACCCAGATCCCTCTCCTGGAATTGTTTTTGGCTTAACAGGAGGAAGCCCTTTATCTTGGTCACTAAAGAGCACAGAGATGACTCCGAACACCCACAGGCCATAGATGTGGTGGATAAGAAGCTGACAGTTCTAAATAATGTTCTTTCTCTTGCCTTTTACACCACAAACATAATATGAAGGAACCACAGGGGCACAGTAGGGTCCAAATAACCATATTTACTGAAAATACACAACATTCAAGGTGTCATTACATACGTATTCTGGTTGCTCTGGTTAGGTTCTGGCAGCTTCTAAAGCCTAGAACACCATGAGCACCACTAGAGGGCTTGCAAACTATTTAAAGGAATACTCCCCTAGTCTTTTACACAACAAATAGTAGTTTTTCTGACCACTCAAAACTATTTATTTATTGGTTTTTCTGTGGGACTTTTCACCTAGATTCTCAGCCCCTCTGTGACAGAGTGCAGGGTGCAAACAGGTGAGCCTGCCCTCTGATCACTCTAAGAGTAATTAGTTTCCCCAGTAGGAAGCTGATGGGGGGGTGGGGGGTTGTAATTACTCAATCAGTAATTGAGCCCTGGGCTGATGAGAGGTGGCCCAGAAAGGAAGGGTGGGGGAGGAGAGAAGGAGAAATAAGGCCAGCTAAGCCTAGCCAGACAGAGGCTCTGAACAGGGAGTCCTCTGTTACCTTCCAGCTCTGGTGAGAGGGCCAAGAGGCAGTTAATATTGTCAATAGGCTGTCGCGCCAAGGACTGTTTGGTGGTGGGAACACTAAATAAAAAGACATGGGGAAGGCACAACCAAGCGAGTCTGTGCAATTTTTGCAGGGAGAAGACAGGAGTGGGGCCATGCCCCATGACACCCTCACAAAACATGAATCGCGTTATTCCCACTAAACCCCAGTGAGGCTGAGAGCCTCAGATGGGGGAACTGAGGCCCAAAGCAACTAAAAAGAAACAAACTTATTTTTAGAGGTGCCCAAGATGACACAGGAAGCTGGTGGCAGATCTCCTGAGTTCCATTTTTATGGTACTGGCTAATCCCACACCTCCCATGCTGTAGCTCCATTGGAGAGGACTCTCTAAGCCAGCGCTGCATTCCTTTGTGCCCTGACATCACAAGAGATGCTGTCCAGGCCCAGAAGTTCTTTGCCTGATACATGCAGTGACTTCTTGCAATCGGTTAGCTTTTGGAGCTTTCCCACAGGAGACGGATGTTTTTGCTTAGACTGCCCCACTGGATGCATTGAGATCCAGGGACTCTTCTGCTAAGGGTGGCTACGAGGCGTAAGAAGATGGGTTAATGCAGCCACCTCAGAGCAGTGACAGAAAAGCATCTCTCCGGGCTTGTTCCCGCACAAAGTTGCAGTGGTTTAACCGAATTGGTGCAACATCACACCCTGAGTTAAATCAGGTCTAAGCCACAGAGCTCACACCTTTCCCACTCCACTTGGTTACCTTCTAAAGAGCTGGCTGAAACCACAAGCCCTGACTGATCGAAGTTGAAGCATTACACAAGACACAGATAGTTCTGGGGATGCAGATGGGGCCAAATGTATAAATAGACTCCAGGATCTATGACAGACCTTGCCAAAGGTTACAGGGAAACCTGAGCAACCCCGCTCGCTCCCACAAAGGGGAGGGCTGCCTGTGCTGACAGCTGCAGCCAGCCCTGTATTGACAGGGGAGGCTGCGGCCTTAGCAGCGAAGAGAATGTTCTTGGGCATACAGCGCTGAGTCCTGGCAGAGTCGGATACATTGCAAAGTGCTGCTGGGTGCCTGGTGGTTTTTTGGGCCTGTGTGAAATTCCATTCACAAACGCCCTTTTGCAACGGTTACTGGAACAGAGGCCACCTGCTTGGTGTCTGCTGACGGGAGACTGACGCTCACTTCTCATTTAGCCAGGCGGCTCGGTGGGTGTACACAGGAAAGTTCCTGATAGAAGGGGATGAAGAACAGTAAAGTGGGAATGGGGACACCAGCTGAACCAGCATCATAACCAGCAAAGCCACCTTCACTCTGAGGGCCACGTGAGGTCTCGTCATGGCCTTCCTGGCTACCTTTCTCCCCTCAGTTAGATCCACGGATTTCCTGTTTATCACCTGCCATGCTGAAGGAGTACTAGAGGGTGCCTCTATAAAAGGGATGTTCCCTCCTCTCAACCAGACTGTTGTGACCTTTAACGTGGCTGGGAGGCAAACTCAAGGGAAGTGTTTTTCGTAATTCCACCAGAATGGAGCTATCCGCTGTGATCCTACTTTTGTCAGGCAGCAGGGCTCCAAGGGTACATCAGGGGAAACAGGACGCATTGCACTTGTTTCCACCTCGGCTACAGGCTTGGGACAGGACTCTGGGCAAGTCTCTTACCGTCTCTATTTCCCCAGCTGTAAAGTGAGGGTGACAATATTTCCCAGTCTCACAGGGGCAGTGAGATTAGTGCATTCGGCTTGTAAAGCTCTTTGAGAGCCTCAGATAGAAGATGCTAGGGAAGAGCAAAGTGTTATTGTTGTTTCTCTCAGTCATTGACTTTAAGCATTTCACCTCTTCCCAGTTGGTCCCAGTAGCCGCTCTGGTGATTGATTTGCCTGAGGCCGAGATGGTAGGAACAGCTACATTTAAAAAAACAAACAAAAAACCCCGCCTTCAACTCTTCTCTCACCTTGTGCCGCATTCCTAACCTCACACTGCTTGGCACAGCTACTCAATAGAACTACTTTTCCTCTGCCAGCTGAAGCCAGCTGTATGTGCATGGGGTTGAGCTCCTGAGAAACCTGCGGGGATCTATGTCGATTGCGTAGCTCTTTTTATCAAGCTGGATCCAAACCAGAATCCCAGCTTGATCAGCCAGAGCTTGAGGGTGTTTGAGTCAGACCAGATCAGATGCTTGGGAGCTTTTCTGCACTGGTTGCTTGGTTCATACAGAAAAGCACACATCACCTAGCTTATGTTATGGAAGATCATCTCCATTGCCCAGCCAGAGCCTTCCATGGTGCTGGGGTTTAGAGGTAATGGGGGGAGAAGTAACTGCCAGCCAAACGCCCAACTCTGCCTGAGTGCGAATTGGGTGCTGAGGTGGCTGGTTGCCTTCTGCTCCCTCAGAGGTCACTAGGAGCAGAAGGTGCTCAACGTTCTGCAGGACCCATCCAACACCTGGCTGTATTGGCTCCTAAACAGAGCGGAGCTCGGTTAGATTGGCTGGGAGACCACCAAGGAAATCTCCCCTGGACTCACTGCCAGGAGAGGGGTCAGGCCAGGAATAGCTTAGAGTGCCAGCCTGTTACTTGTCTTGCATGTGTTTAAAGCCAGCCCTGCATGTTATCAGGCTTAGGATGATCTGTTGCAAGGAGGGGGCACACTCCTTTATAGTCTCAACTTCAGTTTGGTACGGCAACCACTAATAAGAATAATCTATAAATCCGCAGGGCCAGATATTGCTGTTGGATACATTACTGTAAACCCCATTGATGTCCTTAAGGATTGAATGGGTGTAACTGAACAGAACATGCCCCCACTGATCAATCAGACAGACAGGAGGACAAAAAAAAAGATGGTACTTACAGGTCAAACACCAAGAAGAAAAAGGTGTGGGATTCATAACTATCCTTCAGCTGAACTGCAATAAAACACGATATCAACTATCACTACGGTGCTGTAACTTACACTGGGCTCTATGTATGTGCAATCAGACACGTTCCCTGCCCCAAAGAGACTCTAATCCACTGACTCCCTAAGGATGGAAAATGTGAGCTCCTCTCCGAGCTCCCCAATCCACGAAGGTGGCTGGGTGCCCTAGGCTTTCACTGAGCTCAGTGGGAGCTGAGAGTGCATGACACATTGCAGAAGTCACCCGGCACCTTGCTGGATTGGATCCTGAGCTGAGCTTGGTTTGTCTTTGGCTGGGAGACCACCAAGGAAAACCCAGTGCCACAGAAAGCAGCATGGGTGAATCAGAGGCAGCAATGTCCCAGCATGGTTAGGGACCACTGGGCTACTAGTGGCCTCCCCTTTCAGATGAGATGCAAGCCTAGTCCTGGCTAGCTGTGCTCACCCCCTTGCACCAAAGGGTACATCATCACAGTAACCAAATACCTCCTGGGGAAATTACCTTCTGCCTCCCTACAGACCACAGAATTCCTGAATGGCTCTTCCTCCCCCTTCCCCAAGAAGAGTGAAAAATGAGACCAGGAGTGTTGTCTTGTTGACACCAGTGCCAGCTTTACTATCTAAAACTTCTGGCAGTGGGACTACATCCCTGCCCTCAGGGAAATGGATTCTAGCTAAACCCCTTGTTCCTTCCTATAGCTTTTCTCTGGTCAGATTCTCTAATGGCACTGAACTGAAAGGGACTTCCTGGAATCATTTGAAGAGAAACTAACCAATCCCAGGAATCTGCAACGCAACCCTTCCATTTCCTAGAATACGTTCATCAGGCAGAACTGGAAACCATGTCCTGGAGGCCACAGCCTGTACTTTTCAGAAGAGCTGAGTCATTAACAAGTGAAACACACAACACCAGAGGTGTCAGGGTGGAATTTCAGGCTCCTCATATGGTACTGGAGCCTGCAAACCAAAGTCAAGGTCCTGAGGAATCAAATGTGAACACAGCAGGCTCTGAAGTGAGGTGCTTGCCCTGTGTCAATTTGCAGGTTTTAGCCACCCACCAGGCTTGTAGAGCGCTGCAGCTGTGCGCTGTAGCGCTTAGTGAAGACGCTACCTACAGCAACAGGGAGAGGGTCTCCCATCAGCATAGGTACTCTGCCTCCTGAAGAGGTGATAGCTATGTCGACAGGCGCAGCCCTCCTGTTGACATAGTGCTGTCTACACTGGTGGCTAGCTCAATCTAACTGTCACTCGGCAGTGTGGATTTTCCACACCCCTGAGCGACATAGTTACACCAACATAAGCTTGTAGCGTAGTGTAGACCAAGCCATACTCTTTGCCTGAAGCAGAGATCTTCATGGGTCACAGACTGTGTCTGTCAACAAAGTGATTTCCCCACTAAGAGCCCTGACGTCCGTGAGCTTTGGCCTAACACCTCACCTAATCTGTCTTCCCCGGCTGGAGGTTCCATGGAGTGTTGGGATCTTGCTTCCAGCAGGTGCTGTGCTCTGTCCAGCAACAATGCTGACTGGGATCATTATGGGTCTGGGGGAAGCAGTGAGTGGCAGAAGGGCTCACGAGGGCCCTGCTCATCTAGGATTTGAGCCAATTCCCAGCAAGATATCACTGTCAGGCACCATCAGGTGGGTATCCACAGAAGATGCATCCTTTCCCTGACGGGATTTTGGCTCAAGGAGCCAAAGGGATTAATCAAAATCTGAAAACTCTTGTGAATATCTAGAACAGAAAATGGGGTGGAAAAAGCCACTGATCAATTTTTAGAGTAGCAGCCATGTTAGTCTGTATCCGCAAAAAGAAAAGGATGATTTGTGGCACCTTAGAGACTAACAAATTTATTTGAGCATAAGCTTTCGTGAGCTACAGCTCACTTCATCGGATGCATTCAGTGGAAAATACAGTGGGGAGATTTATATACACACATTGTTTCATATTCTATGTGTGTATATAAATCTCCCCACTGTATTTTCCACTGAATGCATCCGATGAAGTGAGCTGTAGCTCACGAAAGCTTATGCTCAAATAAATTTGTTAGTCTCTAAGGTGCCACAAGTCCTCCTTTTCTTTTTGTGGTCCGTTTTTGTTACCCAGGTGCCCAGTCATACTAATACTTTGACTTACTGATATTGGGATGTCCTGAGACCTGCCGAAGGATGTCTATCTCCTTGATAGTGGCTTTCCTCAGCTCCTGGACCTCCTCTGGGGACAAATTGCCAGCTGTGATGTCTATAATCTTAACTGCGTACTCTTGGCTGGTGGGTTTGTGAATGCACCGACGAACCACGCTGCTTACCCCTCTGCCAGGACCAAGACAAAGAAAAGATTGGAATAGGAGGAAAATTTCTAGCCAGTTTCACTTCCTGGTGCTCATGCACTAGCACAGGGCTAACAGGATGGGGTAAGGGAGTTTGGGTCAATGGAAAATACAGTGAGGCTCCCACATGTTAGTTTGACTCCCCAAGCTGCTGCTGTGGACCCTATCTAGTATCTGCAGCTATAGTCTGCAAATAGAATCCTAGAAATACAGGGCTGGGAGGGACCTTAAGAAGTCATCCAGCCCAGCTCCCAGTGCTGAGGCAGGACCAAGTAAATCTAGACTGTCCCTGACAGGTGTTTGTCCAACCTGCTCTTAAAAACCTCCACTGATGCTGATTCAACAATCTCCCTTGGAAGCCTAGTCCAGAGTTTAACTACCCTTGGAAAGTTTTTCCTACTATCTACCCTAAATCTCCCTTGCTGCAGAGTAAGCCCATTACTACTTCTCCTGCCTTCAGTGGATATGGAGCACAATTGATCACCATCCTCCATATGATACTCCTTAACTTATCTGAAGACTATTAGTGGTCCTCTTTTCTCGAGACTAAACATGTCTGGGATTTTTTTTTAACCTTTCCTCATAGATCAGGTTTTTCTAAACCTTTTACCATTTTTGTTGCTCTCCTCTGGACTCTCTCCAATTTGTCCACATCTTTCCTAAAGTGTGGCGCCCAGAATTGGACATAGTACTCCAAGTGAGGCCTCACCAGTACTGAGTAGAGTAGGACAATGACTTCCTGGGCATTACATACAAGACTTCTGCTAATACCCCCCTGGAATATAACCCTTTTTCACAACTGCATCATATTGTTGACTCGTATTCTAGATGTGATCCACTGTAACCCCCAGATCCTTGTCAGCAGTATTACCACCTAGCCAGTGAGTCCCCATTTTTGTAGTTGTGAATTTGATTTTTTTTTTCCTTCCTAAGTGAAGTATTTTGTACTTGTCATTATTGAATTTCATCATGTTGAATGCAGACGACGTCTCCAATTTGTTGAGGTCCTTTTGAATCCTGTCCTCCAGAGTGTTTGCAACCCCTCCCAACTTGGTGTCATTTGCAAACTTTATAATCCTACTTTCCACTCTATTATCCAAGTCATTAATGAAAATATTGACTAGCATCTCATCCAGGACTGACCCCTGCGGGATCTCACTACATATGCCCTCCCAGTTGGATGGCAAACTATTGATAACTATTCTTTGAGTACGGTCTTTCAATCAGTTGTGCGCACACCTTATAGTAAATTCATCTAGACCACACTTCCCTAGTTTATGAAAATGTCATGGGGGACTGTGTAAAAAGCATTACTGAAATCAAGATATATCATAGTTATTGCTCCTTTCCTATCCACTAGACCAGTTACCCTATCAAAGAAAGTTGTTTTGGCATGATTTGTTCTTGAACAGCTAGCATGGATTTGTCCTTATAACCCTATTATCTTTTAGAGTTTAGATGCTTACAAATGGATTCTTTCCAGGTGTCAAAGCTAGGCTGACTAGTATATAATTACCCAGATTCTCTTGGTACCTATCTTTCAAATGGGCAACAACGTTTGCCTTTCTCCAGTACTCTGGGACCTCACCCATCCTCCAGGAGTTCTCAAAGACAACCGCTAATAGTTCCAAGGTTGCCTCAACTAGTTCCTTAAGTACCCTAGGATGAATTTCATCAGGACCTGCCAACTTTAATAGATCTAACTTGTCTAAATATTCTTTAACCTGGTGTTTCCCTACTTTGGCTTGTATTCCTTCCCTGTGGTTGTTAATATTAATTGTGTTGAGTATCTGATCGCCATTAACCTTTTTAGTGAACATTGAAGCAAAATAGGCATTAAACCTCAGCCTTCTTGATGTCATCAGTTATTCGCTCCCCTTCCCCATTAAATAGAGGACCTACACTTTCCTTCATCTTTCGCCAAATGTACTTAAAAACCCATTTCTTACACCTAGTAAGGAACATAAAAGGCAGTAACTCATTCTGTGCCTTGGCCTTTCTGATTTTGTCTTTTGACTTTACCTGCCCAGAATTTCCTTCGGGTCATAATTCTGATAAAATTCCTTGGCCGAATGCCAGTCTGGTAGCTGCTCCTCCTTGGTCATGTTTGGATCCTCACTGCGCCCACTGTAAAGCCTTGCTTCAAGGTAACAAGTAGCTAAAACAAGAAAAAAGCAACTAAATAGTACCATGGCTGTCTTGGTTTCCTCTAACCAGGCCTTTAGTCTTAATGACTAAAAATGGACCTGCACCTCTGTATTATTGGCTTTCCAATTGTCTCTTTTATTCTGAGTCCTGATGTCTGATAGATCTTAGAACTAGAAACAGAGGCCCAGACCTTCAAAGGCACTGAGATTCCTAACTGCCACTGAAATAAATGGGAGTTAGGAGCCTGCATGCCTCTGAGGGTCTGGTCCAGAATGCAAACAAAATTGTATTCATCACTGTCCCAGGACCAGGTGCGTTCATTCGCCATATGTGCGCACACCAGTGATGATGAGGTGGCATGCTGCAGTGCTCACGGGAGTTAGCCTTGTATCTGCTTCCTTCTAAAGGCAGGGTGGGCAATAGAAAGGGACGAAATGAAAGGGAGCATTTCACTGATGGGGAATGTTCTATTCTGTGCAGGATTCCAATCCCATTGAAGTTATGGAAACATGCCACTGACTTCAATGAACCAAAGTGTCTCACAAGTTTGGGCCCCCCATCCTGCTGGTAGAAACTATCAGTCCTGCATTCAAGCAGCACCAGTTAGGCCCACCCTCAGAACATGCACCACCTGGAGAAGGGGAGCTTAAGAAGGTGAAACTGGCCACAGAGGACAGGGGGGAAGCTTGCCCAGGTGTAGGAATGTTGCCAGCAAGCTCCAGTAGCAAGGGAAGCCCTGCCTCAGGCAGTAGCCAGCCTTTCCTCCCACTCTGGTTGGGGGACACTGTGAGCCTGATGTGAGCAAGGGACCCTGTAAATCTGCTTCCTGCCTGTGACAAGACCTAGGAGTCCCCTGCAGGGACTACAGACAAGTGAACTGTAGCTGGACTCTTAAAAGACCCCAAGAGTGAGCAGAACTCCTTCCAGAAACGGTGAGATTGGCCAGGGGTGGGGGCTTCCATAGGGGACCCAGGAGCAAGAGACCCAACAAGACTACAGTTGAGCCCAGGTTGAGGGTCAGCTACTCTAAGGTCTCTCAAGTTGGAGCCACCAAACTTTGAGGTACCCCAAATCACTTTTGAAATCTTGTCCCTTTCCTGACTGTCCTGGCCCTATAGCATCCCTCATAGTAGAGGCTGTAGTGAGCACAGGGATATTTCTACTGAGGATACTGGGCATGCAGAGCAGCTGTAGCTCCCTGGCTCCCTATCTCACAGACAGAGGAACACAGGCTCTGTTGCCACACAGGGTCTACTTAACCCCTCGGCTGGAGTGAGCAATCATAGACTCCAGTTGCTGGGTGTACTCCAGGCCCTTTTAAAATTCCTTCAGTCCTGCAGGAAGACTTCCAGTGAATAACACTGGATTCTTGCTGGGATGGCAGGGGCAGAGTATTCCTTCTTGTAGTAAAGCAAGGACTTTAAAGGGCAAGCACCAGGACCCCCAGTATAGCTGCAGTTCAGCAAAGTATCTGCTTGAGTCCCATTTACTCCAGTGTGCTCAGTGCCTTGCTGAATAGGGATAGTTGGCTGAACCAGGACCCCAAACCTGGGGAGGAATGAAGGTAACTATTTAAATTTTACAGCTATGGGGGGCAGGAAGCTGAGAGAGAGAGGTTAAGTAGTATGCCCAGGTGCACACAGTGAGCTGGCAGCAGGAGAGTTTCTGGCTCCCAGACCTGTGCTCAAACCACTGCTGCTCTCATTATCAACAACAGCCAAGGTTTTCAAAAGCCATTGGTACCCCACTTGAGATGTGATTAAAGGGCCCTGATTTTCAGAGAGTGGGTGATTGGTGCTCTCTGAAAACCAGGCCTTTTGGAATGTCTCACCCTAGGCAACCCAAATCAATAGAAGCTTGAGAAATCTTTGGCTTACGTGTCAGGCTCCTTTAGCCTAATAAACTATAGCACATCAACAACATTGGCCAATGGCTATTTCTGAGCACCCTCTCTCCCCCCAATGAGACATTGTCAGCTTTTTAAATAAAGCATTAAGCCTCACAAAACTGTCTGAAGTGTTTGGATTTTTAAAAATCCATTAAAAACTAAATAAAAATGACTCCCAGCGAAAGAAAAAAACCCACTCAAATACAGTTTTAGGTCTGGATGACATCTGAGCTGCTGCTTCTGCCAGGAGGATATTCTGCTGATCGACATAACTAAAGTTTATACTAAATAGAGACAGTGAGAGCTGGACTTCTCCCACGAGCCTCCGTTTTTTATGAAGCACTGAGCTTGCAGCAGCTCGGTTTCATAAGGTCAGGGTTTGGATAACGCACTTTGTGTTTCTAAGACTCCCCATATCATCACTGTGGAATACAGCAGTTTTGAAATAAAGTTTCCAAGAGTCCATTCAGCACCGGTACACTTAAGGCCTGATCCTAGTGGGAGTTAAGGGTGCTCCGAATCCCCCTGGAGACATTCAGTGCTTAACAGAAAGGAGTTTTTAGGTTCTTTGTGTGTGTGTACATGTGGGGAGAGGGGTTGAAGTTGCTGCTCCTATTGAAGTCAGTAGCCAGGAATGCCGACATCCCTTATTACAAGGGACGTCCCTTATGTTTTCCTCTCTATACAACACTGGTAGTTGCTGAGTGCTGCAAAAAAGCAGCAAGAAATACCCCTGGTGAATGTAGCTGAGGGCTGCTTATTAATTAATAATGATATCAGGAGGAGGGGCAGTGTGGGTGTAACACTGACAGACCCCGGTCGTTTGCTGGCAGGATTGAGCCTGGGATCTCTGGAGATAAATGCATGAGCCTCTACGGCATGAGCTAAAAGCCATACGGCTGTTAGCTAAGGTTGTAGCAGACTCATCAATCTCTCAGTGGTTTCTGTGCCACTCCATGGGACAAAGCACTGCACCAAGAGGTGTGTGGGTTACACATGGTGCTAGGAAAACAGTCCCTTATTTTTTAAATACGTTTGCAGCCACGGGAGCGTAGTGTTGTCATGGAAGTAGGGTCCGGCCCTAACTTTCACAGATGGCCTCATTTGTTGAATATCCCAGTTTAGACACCTCTAGGGACAGGGTCCCATGGGGAACTGAACTCCCACAGTGCTCCTTGCTGAGCCTGGCCTTCCTGAAATTCTCCAGCTATTGTGTGCATGTTCGGCACCATTGCAAAAAACAGGCTTCTAACATAAGCCATTTAGCCTTAGAGGTTACCTCTGTAAACATGCCTGAAAGCTTTGGAGGGGCTGTTCACCAAGTTTCTTTCATAGCCAGTTGCAGTTGGCCAGAAGGTCCCACTGTAGCAATTTTGCCTCCACGTTGTCTTTTTGTTTGTCCTACCAGTAACATGATGATTCTGCTACAATACCTACAGGTGTGCTTTCATTTCTCTGCAGTGCATTCAGATCATGTCCCCAAATGGTGTCTGTCTTGGCCTGGTTCTAAGAAACGAAAAGCTCTTCTTGAAGGTCTTCAGCCTGTATGTCTTGATCTATGCTCCATTCTGAGTCACTTAATATCAATCTAACTTATTTATATCAGTGCTAAATAAGGAAGAGCATCCAACCCTTAACTAACACAAACAAATTTCAATTAATTAACTTGTGGCCACTGAATTTATAAAGAGCAGCCTATACCCTATAAGCTCTTTCAGGTGCTGTAGATAACATAGAAGTTAGAAAGTGCACAAGCATTATATAAACCAATAGCTAAGGCAAGCCAGAGGGGATATTTTAAATAAGGGGGAGGATCAGACAGAGAAAAGAGAACACCAACACACCTGACAAAGTGTCCTCAAGAGGGCTTGTGGATTTGGCTTGTTTTTAAGGGGGAAACTGAGGCAGGTATACAGGGGGAGTGAGTCCTACACCCATAGCAAAAACTCACTGTCTACTGAGCTCAGCTGCAAGGGTGGCACCTGGCAAGGCAGGTGGTGTCAGGGCACCTACACCCACCCCAAGGCCTCTCATATAGTCAAGTCTTGTCCCACCACATGAGGTGCTGAGGGCCCTCTACTGCCACACCAGGCTGAAGTGCTCAACACCACACAGGCTGGGGTCCTACGGGCTTTTCAAATCTTAAGGGCCTGATTGGAGGACTTCAGGGGGAGCTGAGAATGCTCCATACCACCTGGGATACGCTCAGCACCTTGCAAGATCAGACCTTTAAGGTCTCTTTTTTTTGTCTAGTTTTGTGGGGAAAAGACCTAGATGTGGAGCTCGCTTCAGTGGGAGGGCTCCCATAGACTTCAATGGATGCAGGAGACTCCAGCCTAACGGAGCTTGCTTAAAATCCACTGGACTCCTTTACAGGCAGCTGCTGTAAAGAACTAACAATAGTGGGACAGTCCAGTAGTAGTACTGATCCTGTAAAAGGAGTTGTCTTTACCAGGGTAATATTACTCTTTAGTTAGAGAAGGAAAATCCATTATCTCAGTATGGATAAACAAACATCTGCACCAAGTCTGCATTTCATATTATCCCCATATCATGTATTTTGAAACTTTGATAGCTTGAAATAACTGATTGGCCACTCATGGTTTAATATATACACACAAACTTACTGACCCTCTGAGCCACATACGATAATTGTCATAACCTCGAGAGCTGGGCATGCCTGCAGCAGGGCTTGGGGCTTCTGCCCCATGGGAGGTGCCTGCCAAGGCTCGGGGCCCCAGTTGGTGTGCCCCCTAGGGCTGAAGCCCCAAGCCACACCACCCTGCTGCAGGGCAGAAACCCCAAACTCCCCATCCCTGGCAATCTGTTGGACAGAGAAGCTGTGGGGGGGAAATGGACATAGTGGGCTCCAGGAGCCGTACTTTAACCATAAAAGAGCCGCATGTGAGCTCGCAAGCCATGGGTTGGCCACCCCATATTAAACCCTAAAGAATATAGCAGATACAGGAATAGCATCTCTCTGAACCAGTCTTTCTACTCTTGATGCACCCTTTGTCCCTTTACCAAGTATGTTAATATAAAGCTCAATACTGCAAGATAATGGGCCAAATTCTACTTTGACACCAGTGCAGTAAATGGAGTCATTCCAGTTACACTGCTACAATATTGTAATGACAGCAGAATTTGACACAATCTATTCCAAAGGCCTGATTAGACAATATACTTTTGTTCCAGATATCTTGCTGGTTTTAGCATTCGCTAGTGGATTTGAGAGAGGCTTTCAACTTCAGCAAGATTACATAATTACTTCTATGGTACCAAAAGGACCCACCATGACACAGGCACATAAGAAAATAAGGCTCTCTGCCTTACAATTGAGAATGATTTATGGTGGTCACTTGTAAGGTGCTATATAAAACATCACAACATATCAATGGTTTGTAGTTCTAACCTGTTGCTTCATACACTTCCCCCCACTCTCCTTTGTAGATGTACTCCTACTGCTCATTTCCTTTCAAGAGAGCTGTTGCTAGACACAGCAGGTCCCTACTTACCATTACCTCTTTGCAGATTCTGCCTTCTACTTTCAGCCCAAATTTTCCAGGAGCAGCAATTAGGGATCAAATTACTACCACAAATATCAAAATGAACTTGAACAATAAGGGTCTAAGAGACAGACCACTTTGAGTTCCACAATAACAACCCAGCCGTCAGCACGGCTGCTAACTCGTTCCAGGTCAGCGTCCGTGTGAGGGCTGCAAAGCCAAAAATAAGTTGCAGTGCTACTTGGAAGCAATGCCAGAACCTCAGACATAAACGTACAGCGCCACAACATTCGTTTAATTGCTGGTTTGGAGCGGAAGGGGGGAAAAGCAACATGAATGACCCTATTCTGAAGTGATCAGAAACCATTCAAACAGGCAGCAGGGCTTTCCTGGCTCTCCTGCAGGTTACTGAATGGTAACAGCATGCTAGAGCAGGCTGGGTAGTTTCTCGTAAGCGATCAGTCTTTTTTTCCCCTCAGCATTTGGAGCCAATTCACAACTGTTCTTAGGTAAGATTCTATGGAATTCAGGCAGGGAGCATAGAAAGGACTTGTAATCCCAGCATGCATGATTCTGAAGTGCAGCCGGAGGAGTGGGAGGTAACTAAGCTAAAGCTAATTTGGTAAAAGTAGTAACAAGGTGAGAAGGCAGAAGCCCCATCTTCAACGTGTTTGTCCTTCATGTTCGCTTCCCTCTCTGAACATTTATGCCAATGTATATATTCAATAATAATGTTGAAAGGGTTCTTTAACCATCTTGTACTTCTGTTCTCCACTCCTGAAATGGGTCACGTGCCAGCTTTGCCTCTCCCTGTTCTTGTCTCATATCTTTGAGCAGATGTACTGCAGCAAGTTCCTTGCAAGGGGGATGCTAGGCACACTTTTTAAACTACTGCAGCTATTCTTGCCATGGCTCCCATGGGAACAGCCACACAGGAGTCTTATGAAACCTCTACAGAAATAGATTTGAGGCTAAAATGTGAATTTGTTATGGGGAGGGAACAGCAAATCTCCACTTTAGTTCAAGAGGAAGTGCTCAGCCTACAAAGCCACCTTTAAAGATACATAGTGGTAAAGATTCTTACCCAGGCCATTATGAAAACTGTTGCACTGTTCTCTTGACCTTATGAAACTTTCCCCCATATCTACATGTATCCTTGTACTTTAGTCCAGCTCTTATTTCAAGAACAGTATCCACCATAAATTCCATCTGCACCTTAATGCTTTACATAGCTATACATCGCCTACAGCCTAAAAATAAGCTGATCAAGTGTAAGCTTGCTTGTTCAAGGATAGCAGATTCTCTAACATACGTAAGATGTATTACCCAAGGAGCAGCTTTTGCTAACGTAGGAAAAGCAGAAATGCATATGGCATGGTAGATGTGGTCTTACCCTCTAACCTCTTTTGCACTGCTGCATAGAATACTTTATCACTTCTACCTTTCTTGCTTGCTACATATTAAGTTGTATTTTGAACACTTGCATTATTTAAGGCATAAAATGTCTCTTCCACCAGAGAGTTAAGTCAGACCTAGGCCTGGGACCTTCTGGGAACAGTCAAGTTGTATGCTGGTATATCGATACCTATGGAAAACGGGTAATATCAAGCACTAGCATAAGAGGAAAGGGGGAACAGTGGAAAGCAATTCATATAACCGTCATCTCCTTCCCCTTTGCACTGGAGCGGGAGTGGTCTAAGCCCTCCTCTAAAAGCCTATTGCTTTTTCCAATTGTGAAGAAGATTCCATTCATGGGTTGTACATAACGTAGAACATAAGTATTGGGCAGCTTTTAAAGGCAGCTGAATTTCACTTGACATCCTTAAGCTGTTAACAGCAACACCCTCTAGTGGAGCAGTTAAGGAGGGCATCTTAAAACAAATCAGACTACTTCCAATTCTTTCTTTAGAGGTTTTTAACCGATAGTTGCAAAGGTCGCTGGTAACATGTAGCAGTGCAGGCTGTTACTAGCAGTACTAGTACATGCAGCAGCTGCTGAAGACAATTGAACGGCATACCACCATGCAGGATTGTTGACCTTGTGAGGAATGTTTCTTGGTAATCTTTTTCCCTGAAGTGGAAGAAAGGAACCTGCCACCATTGTCACATACTCATTGTTTCTGCTGCTCTTGAGAGCCAGGATTTTGCACGATCTAATGAATTGCACATTGACGTTTTCTAGAGAGTACACAGTCATGCTTCAGATGTGATCTGAGTTTTGCTGTATTGGTCATCATTCAGCTCTTGTTCAATGTAATAGACATGTTAGAATGACAGTTTCAATTACTGAACGCCTCTGGATTTCCTGCAGGAACTTTCCCTGACTAGCCCCCTCTCCCTATTTCATAAAGCTTGAACCAATTAAGATGGCATGAGTTCAGGCAACACGCATTGAACCAATTACATGAAGAGAGATCTCCTAATGAAGCCTGGTAGTTAATCCTTAGGGGGACAAACCTTGCTGTATTCAGTGATGTCAGTTGCTTCAGTTGTTCCCAGCTTGAGCTGGTGCGATGTAGGCCCACTGTGCTAATGTTCCTGGTTTCCAGATACTTACAGAAGCCCAAGCTTGTGTCAGAGGCTGCCTGAGTAGCTGGAAACAAGGAGAAGTTAACATAGGTGCCTTTACTGGTGCCACTGCTAGGTAGGGGAAAGAGACAGGGGCTGGCAGTTACCACCAAGATGGTTGAAAGATCTATCAGTTGGAAGCTGAAGTTAGACAAATGCAGACCAGAAATAAGAGGTAGTTAAAATAAAATAGGGAGGGTAGTTACCCACTCTGACAATTTACTAAGGGTTATGGTGCATTTTCCATCACTGGCAATTTAGAAATCAAGCTTTTTTAAAAAAGTGCTCTAATTCAAACAATTCTGGGGAAAGTTCTATGGCCTGCATTACACAGATGGTCAGCCTAGATATTCACACTGGTCCCTTCTGACCTTGGAAGGTATTAATGGAGGTAAGAGGCAGAATGCCCCGGGAGAAAAGCAAGTGATTCACATTAATCTCAGTGGGGGGGAGGGGGAGAGTGTCTCATACACTTCAGAACCTGACCACACCATACAAGTTTAGGAACTGCTGATTTAGCAGATTTGATTTTCATATGACTGAGGTTTTTCTAAAGATTGATGATGGCAGAGAGACAAGTTTGCATTACTCCTTCATACCCTTTAGGTCAGATTTTGAGAGTGTTCAGAACCAACAGTAGGGACCAGACTTCGAAGAGTGCTCATCAGCATGAACAGGGCATGTGTGTGCTAAGCTCTCCTGAAAACATGGTCTTTAGGCTAACATAGAAGGGGTGTTTCCCTAATTATCTACTTCCACATCTTATTTCCACAGAAAGTGATAACTCCTAATTCACAGGCTCTCATTAGACACCTCAAACATTGAGAATTTTATTTAGTCTCACATTTAAACAGCAATGTAATAAGCAGAACTAGTTTTGATTAGGCCCCTTGTATAAGATTCTGAAGATGGGCAAAATATTTCAACTCCCTCCCCTGATCTCTAGTTTAGAACTATCCTGTTACAATCCAGCATGTTTATCAATGTGGCAGAAAACTCTAAAGGACCCTTTAAGTTGTGTCAAGGTTTGGACATTCAGTTGTGAATATATGAACTAACAAGGTATTACAGATAGTAAACTTAAGGTCTAAAGCTACTGAAGCATCTTTCAATTTTAGATCTTTGGATGCTCATTTTCAGCTTCTTCATTCTGTAGAACTTGATTAGGATAAACCTGTAAATTAAACAGTTAGAATTAGTGACAAGATAAATTTTAATGCTGAGAACCTTCACTACCTGTGGATTAATCTGCTTTGTATGATTCAGGAAGACTTAATTCCTCAGTGACATTAGGCATCACTAGGTTTCATATTCCAACTGTGCTTGCGTAGATTAACAGTTGCACAATTAGCAATTTCGCCTCAATAAAAAGCAGAACAGATGTCTCTGGAGAGCAACACCCATAATTAGACAAGCACTGTCAATGCACCTTACACAGTTTAGCGTAGGTAGTACAAGTTTGGGGTACCACTCCTTTGGAGTCCACCTTTAATTTCAGACTTGGACATGGAGCAAAGGAGGAAACATTAGAAGCTTTTGTGCATTCTTTCAGTTCCATTGCAAATAATTACAGGGGGCTCTGGCATGCACACCAGAATGGATATTACCAAGTACCATGCTGGTTCAGGCCCAGTTCCTGAGAGAATTAATCAGGTGACTTAAGTCTGTACCAGACTACACAGAGCTAAGTAAGCTACTCACCATTAGCAAACCTGCATTGCTTCAACACCTCACTGAAACCCTCACACAGCTTGAGGTCACTCTGGTTCTGTGCACACTCCAAAAACTGCTTCATTTCGTACTGGCAGGGCGGATACTGGGACTGCTGCTGATATGCAGCCTGGGCTGCTTGAGGCTCCTGAAAAGGAAGCCACAGAAGCACATTCACAAATTTGAAAAAATGAACTTGGATGAAGATTTCCAGATACAGAGAATCACACCCTAAGACTACTTATTACAATAGGTATATTTCTGCTTCTTTCTTCCCCTGTGAAGGCAGCAGGAGCTCCCTTGGAAGTTGTGCAACTTTCAAATACTAGAGGTAATATCCTGACCCCACTGAAGTCAAAGGGAGTCTTCCCATTCTTAGGAACTTAGTGGACTTAAGATTTCATCCAGTGTTCGGCAATGTAAGAACTGTCCCTAGAGGGATTCAAACCCCAACACAGGGAAAGAGTACCCAAAAAAGCCTGGTCCCAAGCATCACATTGGTGAATAGAGGTCAATTTAAACTCATAAAACATTGAGATTTTCCTGTTCCCCTTATAGTTAGGAGACTTGTTGATAAATAAGTTAATGTTTTGGATTACAGTTGTGTCCGCATTTTAAAGAAAAATGTGATCAGAAAGGGTACTAATGGAAGGCTAATCCATAACTCTCCACAGTCTATTTCAGTAAGATTAAGAATTTGGTACAAAAGCAGAACAAGGTAAGATGTTCAAATGCAGCTGACAGAATCTGAGCCTTATACCGAGCCTCTAGCTGACCATCTTAATCGATCTAGTCTTTTTTTCTACTTGAGTGAAAAGCAGCACATGGAAATTCTCTTGTGCACAAATCCAACAGCTAAATATTTCAGACCTTCATCACAAACTCTTAATGAATCCTAGAATGGCAGTTAATAACACTTGAATACCCATAACATCTTATTACTCTGATGGCTAGTTTACCAATCAAACCATAAGGGCATTAGATTTGACTGAGCCAATCGGTTACACACCCCTTTTTTGAGGGGGTGAGGGGTGTCAAAAGCCAGTCACTAGAATAGAATTATGCATGTATCCCCATATACCATCTCCATGGATTAAGCTGTCATTAGGCCTATGTCACTCACTATGGCTCACCTTACAAGTTTCCCATTTCATTCATAGCTCAGACTGAAGATACAATATCAGCCATGTACCTGGTAAGTAATGTCAGGCCTTGCAGCTTCAGAGCCACTTCCTCCACCAAATCCTCCTGTCATGGCATGACCTAGTGTGTGTCCTACAGCTGAGCCTACTGCTACTCCTGCAGCTGTTGTAGCCATCTGTGCCATCAGACCAGGCTGCCTTGGTGCAGCAGCAGAAGTCACTGCAGATGCAGGGGCAGGTGCTGGTACTGGAGCACGAGCTGCAGGGGGTGGGGGTGCTGCTCTCATTTGCGGTGCACGACTGCATTGGGGGAAAAAAATAATTAATGCAAAAAAACCCACACCCTTTATAAAAGACTCCATTTAAAAGCTGAGTTTCAGAGTAGCAGCCATGTTAGTCTGTATCTGTAAAAAGGAGTACTTGTGGCACCTTAGACTAACAAGTTTATTAGAGCATACACTTTCATGAGCTACAGCTCACTTCATCAGATGGATACAGTGGAAAATATAGTGGGGAGATTTTATATACATAGAGAACATGAAACAATGGATGTTACCATACAGACTGTAACAAGAGTGATCAGGAAAGGTGAGTTATTAATAAATGGACACAAATCAGACATCAAGAATCATAACATTCAAAAACCAGTCGGAGAACACTTCAATTTCTTTGGTCACTCGCTTACAGACCTAAAAGTGGCAATTCTTCAACAAAAAAACCTTCAAAACAGACTCCAACGAGAGACTGCTGAATTGGAATTAATTTGCAAACTGGATACAATTAATTTAGGCTTGAATAAAGACTGGGAGTGGATGGGTCATTACACAAAGTAAAACTATTTCCCCTTGTTTATTTCCCCTCCTACTGTTCTTGTCAACTGCTGGAAATGGCCCACCTTGATCATCACTACAAAAGGTCCCCCTTCCCCCCCCTTTGCTGTTAATAGCTCACCTTTCCTGATCACTCTTGTTACAGTAAAAAGAAAAGGAGTACTTGTGGCACCTTAGAGACTAACCAATTTATTTGAGCATAAGCTTTCGGGAGCTACAGCTCACTTCATCGGATGTATGCATCCAGTGAAGTGAGTTGTAGCTCACAAAAGCTTATGCTCAAATAAATTGGTCAGTCTCTAAGGTGCCACAAGTACTCCTTTTCTTTTTGCGAATACAGACTAACACGGCTGTTACTCTGAATCTTGTTACAGTCTGTATGGTAACACCCATTGTTTCATGTTCTGTGTATATAAAATCTCCCCACTATATTTTCCACTGAATGCATCCGATGAAGTGAGCTGTAGCTCACGAAAGCTTATGCTCAAATAAATTTGTTTGTCTTAGGTGTCACAAGTACTCCTTTTCTTTTTATTTAAAAGTTGAGTTTTTGAATACCTGTAATGTTTATACCACATACATGTCTTGCAATACAAAGACTGAACTCTAGGGCTGGTGTACATGCTTTAGGCTTAGGTCTCCTTTTTGGAAACTTTCATAAAGATTTCCCAAATGGATACAGGCGATTCAGACCCCCTTCCCCTAATGTGAATGAAAAGAACAAAACAGTGTGAACTGTGGGATAATCGACGTGTGGCGGATTTTCAAACCGGAGCCAGCTGGCTTTTGCCAAGGCTGATCCACAGCCCGTCCAGCCTGTAGGTGCCACAAACTAGTTTAGTGCAGGCCTGTCCAGGCAGCACCCCGCCCGGTTACAAGTCGGCTGTTCCCTCAGCCGGTTAAACATTGACCGCCTCGACAAGGCCGCAGCGCTCAGCAAACACCGCCTCCCGCTGCGGGAGAGGAGGCCGGAGACGGTTACATAACCGAGGCCTTGGATCAGCCTCCGCCGCGGGCCTCACGGCGCGCCCATCCCCCGCTGCCCTGCGCCCGCACCAGGCTCGCTGGGGGAGGCCCACGAACCCGGATCCACGCAGGGGCTGCTGCCCTGCCAGGCCGGGGGGGACAAGGTGAGATTAACAGGGCCCGCCCAGCGCGCCCTATCTGCCCTCCAGGCTCCTCGCCCCCTCCCTGGCCTGCCCCCAGCCCCGCTCACCTGGCCGGGGCCGCCATGCGGGACGTGCGGCTCCGGCTGCCCCTCGGCATGCTGGCGGCTGCGGGCGGACTCGCTAACGGCCGGGACTGCGCCTGCTGCACCCGCCTTCCCCTGCCGACGCCGCGGGCCGCACTGATCCGAGCCGCCGCTTCCGCTTCCGCTTCCGCCCCCTTGAAGGTCACCGGCTTGCCAGCGGCGCCGCGCGCCCTCATGATGTCACACGCAAAGAGCGGCGTAGAGGGCGGAGCCAATGCTCTGCGATCTGCTCCCTTGGCCCAGTCTCCACCCCCTGCCATGGCTGGGAGAGACTCCCCTGCTGTCCCCATCAACCTGCCCTCAGACCAAGGCCGGGGGAGGAGGGACCCACTGGGGAGGCCCTGCTGGGTAGAGGAAGGATGTTCTAGGGCTGCCCCTCGTCCTTGGTTAAGGCCCTATCCATAGGCTGATGGATGTCTGCGGTATTGGGAAGTCGAGTGCAACTATTGGGCCAGTCTGAGACCCTGTGATCACTGTACCTGTGGAGTTGATCTTAACATTTACAGGGGTGAAATCTTAGTTAAAAATGGTCAATTTTATATGGTAGAAGAATGATAAAGAATTTAATGTATCTGTTTGTATAGCAACCATAATGGGGCCCCACTCCTGATGGAGACCTTTTAAGTGCTGCCGTAATAGAAATGTGAATTGATAGTAAACGCATCTCATGTTAATGTCACTCAGCAGCACCACTGTTCAAAATTCAAGCCAAGAGAATGAAAAATAACAACTATTCAGAGGAAACCAATTAGTAAAGTGACTACAGATCCAATAAATGTATTTGGTAGGAAAGTCTTAGAGTAGAACCATCTACAATCAAATTACATAGTCTTGTGAATGCTGTTGTATACAGTATGTGTTTAAATGAGTTGTTATATATTGAATTAAGCTAAGTTTAGTTAATGTTAAAGGTTTTTTCACATGTCTGAAATGTGTTAGTACTATACAAATATTACTTCCAAAAACTTATTTGAGTACAGACTCATGCTCAAAGCACCTTGTAATACAACATCTGTTCACAGCTGTTCAGCTAAAGTTCTAAATGTTTTTCTCTCTTTTAAACTGTGATTGGTTTGGCATGTATGAGAAATTATACTGTTTGTTTACATGTATTGCCACCTTTTAATTTTGATCTATTAATAGTTATATGCTCTAGAGAACAGGTGAATCAATTAAATCCAACTTTATAGCATTATGATATCAATCAGAAAAAGTGGCACACGTCTCTCCCCTCTGCCTTTATTTCATATCTCACTGCCCTGATTAACATTTTCTATTTATCCATATTTAATTACCAGTTCCCCAAAAAGCATAATTGTGTCATTTTTGCATACAGAAGCAACCTATCATTAGATTTAGACAGCTGTCTAGAAAGTAAAAAAACAAGTATTGATCAGAAAAACTACGACCATGATTCCACACAGAGTTGTGTGCAGGAACAGTGGTCTACACACACACAGCTCGTTGTAGGATGGGAGTCTTAAAAAAAAAAAAAAAATCTTAAGAGCAGCAGGAGAAGTGACAGGACCCAACTCCCAAAAATTGCCATGATCAAAATCAGATTACTTATGTGATTTTACTGACAATAAAAGCCACTCTTTAAAAAAAAAAAAAAAAGCCAATAATAATACCTGTATTTACATATATTCATATAGCTATCGTATATTAGAAACGTCATATACAATTAACCAGTATATAAAAAGGTACTATGTACAGCCCAATGCCAATATACATAACCAGTCATTTAAAAACAAAGAAAAACACCAACATTGCCCTAAAGGAGAGTTAGAAGGGATATACTTAAAATACACTCCTCTCTAATTTTTGTTAACTTACTGTTATTACAACTCTTAAGATCAATAGAACTTGATGGGAATGTATATTATTTCAGTTTATTTTGTGGTTTTGATACCACTTCATATGTAGCTGCCCCTATATTTTAGGTCCTAGATCCTGCGAACAGCTATGCTCACAGTTTTACATGCCTGTGTAAATCACTGTGAGACTACTCATGTGCCTGTTCTTTGGCACACAAACTGTATCTACAATGCTTGTTGCAGTTGTGAAGCATCTAGCATAACAAAGCCCTGATCCTGATGAGGGCCCCTTGCCACTACTGTAATCGCACATACGTAACTTTAAGCATGCCAGTAGCCCCTATTATAGTAGACAATGGGACTACTACTCATGTCAGTAAAATAACACATGTGCAGGATAGGGGCCTTAATCAGTTTCCCCTATTTGTATGGGTCTTTCAAACAGCAATAAGGGACTGAGATATTTTTGAAAATAGTGAAAATTAAAAAAAAATATTTTAAACAACTTTAATCCCCATTAAAAAAATAAAACAACCCCCTTGATTTCATTTGATTTTTAGTGGTGTACCTTTTCAACATTCTGGCTAAGATTTTTAAAGATCCCTGAAACCTCCCTAATTTAGACCCCTTTGAAAATCACAACTCTATCACTTAAGCCCTGATCTTCCAAACTCACATGTGCAGTTGGATCCCAGTGCCCACACCGACTCTCATTCACTGACTTCAATTGGGTTCTTTGTGAGTACAAGAGATCCACCTGTACATATGCTCATGTAAAATCAAGGCTGTAATCAGCAACTCTGAGATTTAAGGCCCCAATCTTGCAAATTTTTACACACCTGAGTAAACTCATTGAGTTCAACAAGATTACTCAAGCATGCATCTACCCACTCTGCAACAGGATTTACTAGCAAGGAACCTGACTTCAGTGAAGCTTCACCTGGGCACAAGCATCCACACTAACAGATATGACTGAAGTGCCTTCAATTGTAAAAGAAAACAAGGAGTACTTGTGGCACCTTAGAGACTAACAAATTTATTTGGGCATAAACTTTTGTGGGATAAAACCCACTTCATTGGATGCAGGCAGTGGAAAATACAGTAGGAAGATATATATACACACAGAGAACATGAAAAAATGGGTGTTGCCATACCAACTGTAACAAGACCAATTAGTTAAGATGAAAAGGAGGACTTGTGGCACCTTAGAAACTAACCAATTTATTTGAGCATGAGCTTTCGTGAGCTACAGCTCACTTCATCGGATGCATACCGTGGAAACTGCAGCAGACTTTATATACACACAGAGAATATGAAACAATACCTCCTCCCACCCCACTGTCCTGCTGGTAATAGCTTATCTAAAGTGATCATCAAGTTGGGCCATTTCCAGCATAAATCCAGGTTTTCTCACCCTCCACCCCCCCACACAAATTCACTCTCCTGATGGTGATAGCCCATCCAAAGTGACAACTCTCTACACAATGTGCATGATAATCAAGTTGGGCCATTTCCTGCACAAATCCAGGTTCTCCCAACTTGATTATCATGCACATTGTGTAGAGAGTTGTCACTTTGGATGGGCTATCACCAGCAGGAGAGTGAATTTGTGTGGGGGGGTGGAGGGTGAGAAAACCTGGATTTGTGCTGGAAATGGCCCAACTTGATGATCACTTTAGATAAGCTATTACCAGCAGGACAGTGGGGTGGGAGGAGGTATTGTTTCATGATCTCTGTGTGTATATAAAGTCTGCTGCAGTTTCCACGGTATGCATCCGATGAAGTGAGCTGTAGCTCACGAAAGCTCATGCTCAAATAAATTGGTTAGTTTCTAAGGTGCCACAAGTACTCCTTTTCTTTTTATGAATACAGACTAACACGGCTATTATCAGCAGGAGAAAAAAAAACCTTTTGTAGTGACAATCAGGATGGCCCATTTCAAACAGTTGACAAGAAGGTTGGGGGGGGGGGTGGAATAGTTTTTACTTTGTGTAATGACCCATCCACTCCCAGTCTTTATTCAAATGTAAAGTCTCTAATTCAGAAAGCCTAGCTTCTTACTTGTCTGTAAAGTGCTTAGCATACTGTTGGCATTACATAAAATAACACAAGATGAGGCAAAAAATGTACCAAGGACCTTGGTCTTATTGAAAAACATGTCACTTATTTGTCCTACAAGACATGGTATTTAAACAGTGCAACAGGTGAGGTTAAGGAGATCCCATTGCATAGCATTCCTGAGCAGAGCTCCCTCTTCCTAAGGGGAAGAGCAGTAGGAATGTGTGGAGGGGTTTAACATCCGGTCCTCTATTCAGCCTGCAAGAAATAGACACAAAACATTGTCTCTTTTAGTTACATGATCAGCTACTGTGTGACATTTTGCTGTTTCATTTAAACATGAGGTAAGCCAACCCTCCTCCTTTGTTATCAGCATGAAACCATCCTCTCCCAAGAATATTGACAGTGGTGGTGCCTTAAAATCAGGCAGCTCCTTGGGCTGCACATGCTGATGCTTCAAAGTAGGAGGGGGAAAAGTCGGGATATAGAGAGGCTATGAAGTTTTATCACCGCAGTTAGTCCTAACGCTCATTATTATTATTTATTTGTACTACCATGTTGCCTCAGGGTTCTAGTCATGGGACCTAGTCTCCTCTGTGCTAGGTGCTGTACCAAGAGAACGAAAAGTCCCTATCCCAAGAGGCTTACAAGCTGAGTACAGGGGAGAAGGAACATTATGGACCTTGGGTTGCTTACAGAGGGGTACCATCGGTTTGGGGCTCGCGAGTTGGCAGTGCAGAGGGTATGGGAGAGAAGCTAGTGTACAGATTTGCGTGGCTGCAAAGGGGTTTCGGGATGGGGGAGCTGTGTAAGGAGCGCGGGTCACCTCCCTGGAAAGTCCAGGGGGTGGGTGGAGAAGGGGGACCCCCCCCTTGGGCCTAGCGCGTAACTCGCCCTGGCGCTGCGCCTCCCGGCCCGGGTGGAGCGAGGCCCGCGCTGCTCCCGGCGGCGCCGCTTGGCCTGGCTGTTGCGCAGCTTTTGGGCGAGCTTCCTCTCGTGGCCGGCGGGGAGGTAGCGGTTGGTGCGGAGCTCCCGCTCCCGGCGGCTGCGGCCTTTCCCGCCGGAGCCCGGGCCCCGCGGCCCGCTCCACTCCCGCACGTTGTACCATTCGTACGGGTCGTAGCGAGCCTCGGGCTCCTCCGCCCCAGGGGGCGCTGCCTTCTGCGGCCGGGCGGCGGCCGGGCCCTCGGGCTCCTCCTGGGCCCCTGGCTCTCGCATGCCTGCCGAGCCTGGCTCTGTCTGCGCGCAGTCCCGCCCACCTGAGTGGGAGGGGGCACTCCGTTCCGCCTTCCCATTGGCTCCGCCGCGGAGGGCGGGCTCTAACGCGCCATAAACCCCACCCCTCCCGTTGCGTCATAGACCATGTCGCGCCCTCTCTGAAGGTTACCGGCCCCTGGGCTTGCGGGGTTGCTATGGCAACAGAGGCCTATGCCAAAGGATCCCCCTCTCACTTCTCAGGCCTACATGTGGAGGGGTGTGCCCCTTGCTTTGCCCCAGATGTATACACAAGGGGAGTGGTCCTGCCCCCAAGTCTATATACAAAGTGGGGTGTCCCCTGTAGAGCAGATTCATACCCAAAGGGGGTGTCCCCTGACCACAAATCTCTATCTACAAGGGGTGGTCCCCTGCACTCCACTTCTACATAAAAAGGGAGCATTCATCTACCGAGAAAAAGAGGGACCTCCCCCCCCAAGCCTGTATACAAAGGGGACCTTCCTATCTTTCTCTCCCCATATGCAAAGAGTGGGAGGCTCTCTCTTGCACAATGCACATCCTTTTTGGCACACAGGATCACCAGAACTCCACCATGGGATTGGGATATGTTAGAAAAAGAAGAGGATCAGAGATAGGTGGCAAAAAATAGGAGAGATTGAAAGGATTAGGACTTTTTAGTACAGAGAAGGGACATGATAGATGTAAAAAGAATAATGAAAGGCATTAGAAAAAGGAAATCTGGCACTTTTATTAGATACTTAATACACATTAAAGTCAAATGCAATATACCTAAAACTGATGAAAGGAAATACTTATTTAGATAGCACAATTAACCTGTGGATATTGCTGCCATAAGATAGCAAGCTTATTCAGATTTTAAAAAGGATTAGTTGTTTACATGTATAATAGGAGATCCACAGCTACATTACAAATATATAATGAAAAATAGTCCTCGCCCCAAAGAGCTTACAACAACCTACATATATGCACACCATGGATAAATGTGTCCCTCTGATTTCCTGATCCCTACTTATTCAGTTAATGTAGAAAAGTTTTTTTTTTTCCTGATTAGGGGCCTGCGCTAATATCCACTGAAATAAATAGAAGGACTCCTGTTGAAGTCAATGGACCTGGGATTGGGCCCTGTGTGTGTGTTTTTTTGTTGTTGTTTTTCAAATGGCAGAGGGAATCAGCCAAAAGCAAAATCTCAGGTTGCTTTATTTCCCATTGTAGGCAGGTATATCTCTTATTTGTATTGTATGCAAGCATTCAGAAGTTCATATATTTAATATGATTGCTACCATGCAACATTATAACTTAATGCTCAAGCCCAAGGAGGAATAATTTCCACAAGAGAAAATTTGTCATTCCTTTTACTTCAGTTTTTTGCTGCTATGTAAGGAATGTGTACAAGACTAGAATTATATTAAATACCGCTCGCAAATTATTTCTGCATTGTTGTGTACGATGTTGCTGTTCTCTGACTAGTGATACTCTCTCTGCATGATCACATCATTAGTATTATCAGCTGGTAAAGTATTATTTGTCTGAAGCGCAGCTTGAATCACAGATGTAATTTCTGTTAATTCCTGTATTAAAGGGGAGACAAACAAACCACTTATACTGCAACAAAATATCTTACAAAAGCAAATCATTGAGGTAACCTGCCCATTTAGTGTGACATATACAACAAATAAACCACTCACATAATTTCTTTTAATTTATGGGACCATACAAAACTGTTTGCAGGATTTTTTTTAATCAATTTGGAATATATGTAAATGTTTGCAGGTCTGGACCTTTACTATTGTCTCAGAAGCTGTTTCCTCCACCTTCTTAATCTCTGTCGTTCTTTTTCCCTGACTTTTCTCCAGTCTGTTAAGATCTCTATGGCATGTATCTTTCCCTGAACGTCCCTGTTTTTTGGTTTTGTTTGTCAGCCAGGCAATAATTTCTATTTTTAATAATTTCTAAATATATTATTACACCAGCTGCCAATCTAACTAGGCTGAAAAATATTTGCTGTGCTGTATTTATATGAAAAATATTCCATGTTTCTATAGGTTTTCATACAGAATTTGGATTCCAGATAGTAATCATTTCAGATTTTGGAACTAGTTTTGAACTCCTTCTCCTAAATTTGGCCCATAGTGATTCCCAATAGCACATCCTCTATAAATCAGCCATTGACACAGAAAGCATCATTCAAAAGTTGACAGAGGAAAAATAAATTGTATTCCACCTGAAGTAAAAATTCAGGACCCAGTCCTGTACCTGTTGAGTGCCTATTGTGAAGAGTTGTGTCCTCAACTCTCTGTGACTTTAATAAGAGTTGAGTGTGCTAAACACCTCTTAGGCACTGCCTGGGTTCTTACCTGGTTGCGCCTTCATTAATTATACATAAAAATATTCTTAACTGGAAACTTTGTGTTATTTGGGGGCTGAACTTCAAAAATGTGACTGCTGCCAGGCAAGAGACAGGGTTGTTTCTGTTCCCCCATACCTCACCTTTATTATCTCTTCTGTGCAACCCGACTTTTTTTCGCCACAGCAGTAGAAATTGGAGCCTAGACAGCAAGGACAGCCGTTTTTATTGTTAATACATTTTTATGAGTCCTGAGCAATACATCTCTTCTCTTTGCTGCAGTAATTTCACAATGTGTTTCTGTGTATTGCTTTTGTTCCATAGAACAAAAGAGGCACTAATGGCATCATTTGTGCAATGAATGCTGCCATTGTGTTGCTTTATTGTTTCTTGTTCCTTGGGAAATTCTACAGAGGCTCATATTGTACTGAGTTACTGTCTGTTAGTATGTCTAGCAGCAAGCCCAGAAGGCTCAAGAGAGTAGGGGGATAGATGGGCTGTGATTGTACTTTAAATATGCAGGAAGATAGTGGCTGTGGAGGGTGTTTATAATAGTGCAAGGCTGATTCTAGACTCTGCTGTTATACCTCTTTTGTATTTATAGTTCAGAGACTTTAGCTGGCTTCTCAAACTATAACCAGAGATGTATTATGACAGATTTCAGAGTAACAGTCGTGTTAGTCTGTGTTCGCAAAAAGAAAAGGAGTACTTGTGGCACCTTAGAGACTAACCAATTTATTTGAGCATAAGCTTTCGTGAGCTACAGCTCACTTCATCGGCTGCTACAGCTCACTTCATCGGAGGAGGGTTTGAGGATTAAGTACATGCCATTTGTGTTTTGTCATCCACGGTGATTAGGGTGACAGGCATTTTTTGGTAAAACGTGGTTCATCAAATGATGCATCCGATGAAGTGAGCTGTAGCTCACGAAAGCTTATGCTCAAATAAATTGGTTAGTCTCTAAGGTGCCACAAGTACTCCTTTTCTTTCAGAGATGTATTGAAACTGCTCCTGCCAGAAAAACCTTATTTTCTAGACTATCTTGTTCTAGGACGTTAATTCATAAGAAAACATATTCTCATGAATCAATCTCCTCTCCTCCTTAATCACCCTACTGCTTAGTTCTCAAAAAGTTTAGTTCTGCAGATTACTAGGAAAGAATCTACAAATCACTGATGATTTTTAGACACAATTTAAGATTATTGTCCTACGCTATCCTTTCCCCGCCTCTTCCTTCTTCCGTAACCTCTCAAATCTTACAGTAAGGCTTAATGGGAGCATTGTTCTTAAGTACAATGGTATACCTTGTACCTTTCTTGTTTCTTTCCAAATGGACTAAAGCATAAAGGGGACTTCAAAAGGAGATGCATGTGCTAAAACCCATTGATAGTTTGTCCTGCCGAGGTCAATGCCACAAATTCCATTTATTTCAAAGGGAGCAGGATGGAGTTTCTATTACCTCATTTCTTAAAGTGAGTTTGGAGTTGTTTATTGACATTTTAGTGGTGTTTGGGATGGTCATGGAAACTACATGGCTACTGGCAGAAAAATATTAGTTATCTACAGCCAATCTAGAAGCACCTTAAGGCCTACCCCCACAAGCCCATACCCCATATTGATGTTTTCCATTCTCCCCCTCGTGTCCATGCAATATTATTCATGTGCCCTTTGACCATGTCCTAATGCACTTTGTCATTTATTACAAAGACAAAACAAAACTGGTAACTGAGTGGGTATCTGTTGGGGTAGATCCCTTGATTCACAAAATCGAGTGTGACGTTAACACCTTGTTCCTCTAGCAGAGTATGCCCAGCCTAGCATGGGTACAGCTAAAAGCTGTTTGGGGAGCCAATGTAGGGAAGATGATCTGAGATTAGGGTCTACCAGCCCCCACCTCAACTGATACCACAGCATGGACCCCATCCCTCACTGATAAAGGGGGATCCCTTCTCCCCATTGACATAAGCAGGCAAGACTCCACTACCAGGTCAGCTGGACGGGTGGCTGTCGCACGAGAATCTGGTCGCACCACACGGCGGAGGGATTCGAACACGCCACCCCCAGCCTCGCGGCTCGCGCCCCGACGCCACACGGTGACCTCTTTCCGACCTGAGCGCGCCTGCGCCACACCCCTTCCTGGACGTGGCGTCTGGGAACGCCCTGACGCACCTCCGCCGGCGCGGAACGCCACGTCCAGGTTGGCCGAGCTGCTGAGCCAATGGGCTCCCGGCGCGCGTGCGCTGCTGTCCCCTGGCCGGGTCCGCGTCGGGGGCTGAGGTGGAGGGAGGGGGGAAGATGGCGGCGCCCGTCCTGCTGCGAGTGTCGGTGCCGCGCTGGGAGCGGGTGGCCCGCTACGCGGTGTGCGCGGCCGGCATCCTGCTCTCTCTCTACGCCTGCCACCTGGAGCGGGAGAAGGGCCGGGACCTCCACTATCGGGCCCTGTGCGACTTCAGCGAGCGGGTCCGCTGCTCCGCCGCCATCGCCTCCCGGTGAGGGGGCTGTCGCCGGGGGCTGCGGCAGGCGCCAGAGACGGGGGCCGGGGCCGGGTAGGGAGCCGAGAGGACGGGGCCGCCCGGGGAGGTGGGAAAGCCCGGCGCCGGGGGCCAGGAGTGGGCGGGACAGGAGGGAGGGGTGGACTCGGGGGTGACAGATATTGGGGTGGGGGGTTCGCTTCTGGGCGGTGGGTGGAGGAGGCCGGTGGGCGACGTGGAGAATCTAGGTCTGGCGCTTCTCCAGCTGAGGGGTAATGGGAAGAAACTCCCCACCCCCCCCCCAGCAAGCTCCCCTCCCCGGTGAAGCGGGTACCGGGGTGCGTTTCCTCTTCCCCAAGGGCAAAGGGGGGAGGAGAGGGAGGCTCCATCACTGCCTCCCTTAGCCTCTCACGGGGGGCTGCAGGACTCGGAGATTTCATGGCTCGGGACGAATTGTAAAGGGGTGTTGTCGTCAGGGTCTCCTCGAGGATGGAGGATTCTGACCTAAAGAGACGTGGGATTATTTCGCTCTGCCAGATTGTGATCTTCATTTCAATTGCTTCTGCTGGGTACAGCCTTGGGGAAATGGTAATCTTGCCATTATGGACTTGTGATAAATGAGGGGTGGATTCCGGGCTGATAGAAAGCGGCTGTTATGTCATGTATTGAGGGAATGAGGTAGGAATTGCTCTTCTGTGTGTCTTTTGTTGGGTGCGAGGAGGGTTTGAGGATTAAGTACATGCCATTTGTGTTTTGTCATCCACGGTGATTAGGGTGACAGGCATTTTTTGGTAAAACGTGGTTCATAAAAATTAAATGGTGTAAATAATCAGTGTTTGAGGAAAATATTTAAGATATTGGATGTTTAGGTTGTTTAATTTTAGCATAAACAGTTGAAGTGCTTTTTCAGTAAATGTTGTTTTACCCCATAGTGCATATGAGTGTCTGTCTGATGCATTTAAAAATGCTTAATGTTTAATGCTAAGGGTAAGATTTAATTTACTTCAGTACTGAAGACTCCATTCCAAATTTGGATTTTTCTTAATATTGTAGGATGAGCTTCTCTATTTAAGTATCAGTAATAAAATTAAATGGATAGCTACTTTCCATTTTTACAGGTATTTTAGGAGATTAATAGAATATAAATTTTATATGGTACTAATCTGACTTCCATTGGCAAGCAGCTAAGTTATTTAATCATAAATGGTGTGGAGAATGTATGTATCCCTTATTTTTTACACACTAATAGTGCTGTAACTTTGCCATTCACTGTTCAAACTATAATAAACTTACAAATGTGGTTAAGTGCATATAGCTTTCCACAATTTTTTTAAAGAAAAATTAATAGGAATTATTTTTTAGTCTAAGAAACAAGAGGATTATCCAAAGACAGCATTCACTTGTAGATTAGAAATCTCTTTCTCTCTATTGTTTAACAAGTTGTAGAGCTGGAGGGATTTGGTCCTTGAACAAACATATATTCTCTAAACAACTTGCTTATATTTTTGAAAAGTTTTGTGTTTTTTTGTTGATGCTTTTGCGATAACGTGTTCATGATTATTTATTCAAACACCTAAGGCTTAAATTCAGTGAGAATTGCAGAAATGTCTTTTTTTCTATTTAACTCAAATATTTTAGCAGTCAAAATACTTATATTAGGCAATTATCTCATTGTCATATCAGGGTTTAATCATAGGAAGAATAATCCTGTAATAAATGAAAGAGTACATGGGACTTGCTTTCTAATTTAGTCTAACTATAACTTAGTACTTAGTCTTAAAACTAATTTTATTGTGATTGAAACCAACATTGCAACATACTGTGTTGAGAAGTTTATGTACCAATCTCTGAAAGGAATTTTGTTGGGTCTGGGTGGGGACTTCATTTTTGCTTTTCTGCTAGTCATCAGATTAATCTTCAGCCAAGAAAAGACTTGAGAATTGGCCCTCTCTCTTTGAGAAATAACTTAAAATCGTAGTCTTCTCTCTTTAGATTAAGATGGTCAAACAACTTGAGCAATTACATTAAACTGTTATTAGGCCACTTATGTTAAACTATTCAAACATCATTAACAATATAATTGTTACCGAAGCTGTAACAAAAAATCAAAAGTCTGGTCCTGTGTGTTTTGGCTGAGTGGGGCAACCGTCACAATAATCAATTTTTCCAACCTTTGGACCAGAAGTCAGTGGGACTACAGTAGTCCTAAGTAACATTTTCAAGATTAGACCATAGGGTTTTACACCCCTTTCTTTAATTTCTGTACTTAAAATGCTGCGCATGTATAAGGTCTCAAGTTTCAAGTAAGTAAATAATGAGGTACAGTCTTGTGATTAATTTTTACAAAATATTTGAATATGCAAAAGTGCTCTAACTTTTTAAGGAATTTTTAATGGCTCATTCGTATTTGGCAGGTTTCAGAGTATTTGAGTAATTAGAGCACTTACTAAGGGCACGTCTTCACTATCAATGTTAAAAAGCTCTCCCAGCACTGTAAAAAAACCCACCTCCATGAGGGGAATAGCTGCCAGCGCTGCTGCACCGTCTACACTGGCACTTTACAGCAGTGAAACTTGCAGCACTCAGGAGGGTGTTTTTTCACACCCCATAGTGAGAAAGTTGCAGCACTGTAAAGTGCCAGTGTAAACAAGCCCTAATATACTACTACAATCTGAGTGTTGGGTTCCTGTGATGTACAAGGATGTGCAAGGACCAAAGAAGTAACTCAAGACAGGTGGAGCAGTCATGCAAAGGGTGTCTGTGGAACAGGTGATATTAAGCATGCAAGTTATCTTTATTTCAAACTATATTAGGAGAAGAATGCGCTTTCAGCAAATGATAATATTTCCAATACATAAGTGAGAGGATTATCTGTGGCAGGGGAGCTGTGCATTTTTGTTGAAAGAATAGTCACTCTTAAAACACCGCCAAATGGAGATTTTTCTTTTTACGCTGTTTCTTGCCTTTCACTGTATTTCAGTTAAATAGTTTGACACCTCCAGCAATAGCACTGTTTCATTGGAACTTAAATTCCAGTTAAAGTTGGCAGAGACAGTGAAGGCTCAAATTATGGTGTTCCAGCATTTTCAGGTATGCTAGTAATTTTAGTGTTAACTTATTATTCTGATCCGCTATTTAAATTCACAGTATAACAGCAAATAGATTAGTTAGTCGTCTGTCTTCAACTGAAAGACCAGTCTTTAATTTGTTAGTGTTGTGCAACAGTATTCTTCCTTAAGCTAGATTTGTGACTGAAATTTGAATGGGATCTGATGGTTTGTAGATGAATCCCCTTGGGTCAATATCTTTTCTTAAAGTGTTTGTACAAGTGGTCGATTGAATAAAAACATTCAGTTGATGTGTTTAGATTAAAAGTAAATGTGTAATTTAGCTTGTCTATAAATTTATTTATTCTGCTTTGATCTGGTCAGTTTGGGGATTAATTTTTGGTCTTCAGGGAAGATATTTTTTCTATTAATAAACTGTTAGCATTTCACAAGTCACTCATAAGATGAATCAGGTATTGACTCAGCATTGAAAAGGGAAATAATTAATGTAGGCTACTGTTAATGGGGAGAGGCCTGGAAAATCATGTATCTGAAAATTAATTCATCATGAAGAATTAATCAGAGAAATCTAGCTCCTCACTTTTATATGTGAAATATAAGCTTTCTATTGAGTTTATTTCAAGCTGGTATCAGGACACTCTAAAATGACAGTTTGCTCAACATTGCAAGACCACTTTCTTAAATATTCCTCTAATTATAAGAATGAACTATTGTATACTTGAATATAAATTTTATTTTGCTATACATGGCAAACTATAAAGAGGGCCTGATTTTATAATTAACACACTTTATACTCAAATAAGGAAGTAGAATGTTTATATTTAACTGAAACAATTTACTTTGTGAGTTACAAATAACTTCTTAAAATTTAGTATTTGATGGCAAATTATACTTTAATATGATTACAGAAAACAAGAAATCTATCCTTTATATCTCTTGCATGCTATGGAGTATCTTTTCTTTCTACCATTTTATCTTCCTTTTGGAGATGGAATGCTCTCCATCTATTTGTGTTGACACTTCAGTAACATGGGAAGCCTTGGGAGACTTCCAAATATAACTGAGTCCCCGAGGGAGTTCACAAGCGAAAGTTAGCAAGAACACTGTAAGCTCATGTTACTGCATCTGAGAAAAATGTTAGGAACTAAGGAAACATTCAAAATCTTCACTTGGCAATTACAGTAATGTTTTTAATAACTTAATTCTTTTATGTGTAAGAATAATTGTAAATAGCTGGTAAAATTTTAATTACAATGAAATCTGTTAAAGGCAATCATGAAAGGAACTGATAGCTGTTATTTACAGCAGGCTAGACTATTCCAGAGTAGCTTCAAAAAAAACCCAGAATGAAACATGCAAGGTTGTTTGTGATACTTTATTTTTAAAAAGTTAAATTTAAATTTTAAATCCTCTCATCTGAAGGCTTGGGTTTTTTTTTTTTTTTTTTCCTACTTTGTCCTTTGCATACTGCAGTGGACTGTTTTAGGTCTTCAGATATGTTTCCGCCTCCTGGCTATCTTCCAGGTTGATCTTTAAATGTCTTATGGAGTGGGGCATGTCAGCGTATGACTATTAATGTGTAGCCCCTAACCCAATGTGTGTTAACATGTTGGTGGCAACTCTGAGACAGATTTCTGGTGGCTAGTGTGAGTGACCATTGGGGCAGGTTTAATTTTACATCTTGAACAATATCTGCAGCCTTCACCGAGTGGCTGAATGTGGAGGGTTTGGAAATAGTCAATATTGATCTAGTTGGGCACATTCAGTTTATCAAGTAAGTCCTAGAATAAAGATAAGTCCAATAGCTCTTAAGAGTGGACATTGACTTGGGTGCGACTCTTCGAACAATCTACTTCAGGAACTCTATCTTCAAGGTATTACCAAGTGTGGAAGGACGTCAGCTATCAACCCTTCTAAGATGACTATGCTGAAAAACATTTGGTGGCTGTA